AAAGTACTTTCGTACTTTATTTCGTATTACTCAAGTATTATTACTTGCTTGAATAATACTTTCGTACCTTCGTAAGTTGGTAGGGGTTACTTACTTGAGTTATTTGAGTACGTAATAATAATAATACTTGAGTATTACTCAAATAATAGTTGACTGAATACCGTTGAGACTTGATTGATGAACGGTCAACAAACAACGGGATTTTTAAACGGCTCACCTTCGGCGGCGCGCCTTCTTCTTCTTGATTAGAGGCGCCCCGCGGTGGCGACACAGCGGTAACCGGCGCGTCGGAAGGTTCTCGAGGTGCAGGATCAAGATGGGGATCAACAGATTCCTTGAAGTTGCCTTTTTGTCGTTGCCCGGGAGAATCTTCCCACGGCTACTGCATATTTATAATTCTACTTTCAAAATCCCCGTTCGTCGTATGCGACGCTCTCCGGTGCGTGACGAGCGCACGGCCTTTCGTGGCGTGGCGATGCTACGTCAAGTGGTGGCGATGTAGCTGGCGTTTGATCTAACGAACAACCTTCAAAGCGGGGTGGGTAACTGGGTATGCCGCAGATGGATCTGGAGTTAGGCTTTAAAAAAATGGTTTTTTGCTGACTGTTGTACGGAAAGTATGTACGAAAGTACTTCCGTACACGTGTACGAAATAAAGTAACAACTTACTTATTAGCTACGTAGCTAGCTACCTTCGTACCTTCGAAGGTAGTAGATAGATAGCTAGCTACTAGCTAGTAGCTACCGTACGTGTAGCTAGCTCTAGACCACCGGAAATTTAGTGAGTATTTTATGAGTAATAAATTCGTGTATCCAAAAAGTGTAAATAAATGAGTATTTGATGAATACCGCCAAAAAAAAAAGGTAAATAAATAAATACTCAAAAAAATTCTTCGCCTTCGGCGAGTAAATAAATAAATAACATTTTCTTATTACTCATTATTTATTCACTATCAAAAGTTATAACTCCTGTACCTATCTACGTACCTTCAAAGGCACTTCAGGAAGTACGTAGGCTACGTACTACGTAGTACGAAAGTACTTTCGAAAGTACGAAAGTACTTTCGTACGTACGTAGCTAGCTAGCTACGTACGAAAGTACCTTCGTAGTACGTAGCTACGTACCTATCTAGTATCTACTATCTAGTCTACACGTACTGTACATACACGTACTCGTACACGTTGCGTGTGTGTATCTGATTACAAAAAGACTGAGCTCTAACCCATCCGGGCAAAACATGTGATCTAAATGCGAGCAGACCACACTACGAACAATCCTCTCACGTAGTAAGCAACCCCACGACGGGATTCATGAAACCCATGTGAGCCTCACGAGCGCACGGAGCCGGGGCGATGTGGAAATCGCCAGCAGTGTCGGGCTCCATAAAAAGGATTTGCGCTGCCGCGCCCGCGTGGAAGTTTTCAGAGTCACGTGCGGTTCTGAGCGCGTACGAGATGGGCGCGCCAGCGATGCGGTCCCCGATGGCGGATACGAGCGCGACGGAGATGTGGCCCATGATGCGTCGTTTCCAATAGCTTTTGCTCCTCGCGATGGCGGAGAGCGTGGCCTCGGTCGCGGCATCGGAGGCGGCGTCGCCGGCGGGGACAGTACCTCTCGCACCGTGATCGGCGAGATCGTTAAGGAAACTGCGGAAGCGCGGCGCCTTGAAACCGTACGTGTCGATGGCCATGGGCACGAGGCCGAAGTTGCGGCCCGCGGGGATGTTGCCGTACCAGTCGAGCTTCTTCTTCTCCGCCTCGAGCGTGTACTCGCCCGGCTGGATGTTCGCTGGTGAGCGGGTCGCAGTGGGGCGCCGACCGTTGTATTTCGCGCGCCCGTCACCACTGAACGGGTGGGGGACGACGACGTCCCCGAGGGTCCTGGCCACCCGGCTGTCGAGTCCCGTGATGCTGATGTCGACGGTTTTCCAGCATTCGTGGCGTCCACCTCGCACGGCGTCTGGGGGGAGGAGGCCACGGATGCCTTTCGTCTCGACGCCGAGTCCGACGTCTTTGCACAGCTGTGCGACGGCTCGCACCACGCGGTCGTGGGTTTGGACCCTGTTGCCACCGGCGTTGCCTTCCTTGTGGTTGAGGATGTGGTGGACGGCGTTGTGTGTGAACGTCTCGTTGCCGCACTCGGCTTGGTGGCATGCGAGTTTCCGGTCGATGAGGATCTTGATGGCGGCGGGGATGAGGCCGAGCTCGAGGCGAACTTGGTTTCGCACGTGAGCGGTGGAGAGCTCCACGGCCTTCGAGAAGGGGATCACCGTGTGCCAGGCGGTCGCGCCTTCGCCCCGGAGCGAGTCCATGGATACCGCGACCTGGGCGGCGAACTCGCGGGCGTGTGGGTTCGCGGAGTGGTCGTCGCTGAGCTCCACGGCGGAGGCCTTCACGCTCTCGAACTTGCGCGCGTAGAACATCTGGGAGAGGAGGTGCTGGAGGCCCTTCGCGGCGCACGGTGCGGCGGCGGAGTCGGCAAACTCGGGGAGGATGTTTCGTTCGCGCCGACTGTCTCCTTCAGCGCCGCGGGCTCGAACACGGTCCCAGACGGGCTCGATCATGCCGTTCATCGGGAGGGTGCCGTCCTCGGAGGGCGCGGCGATGCCGTCGAGCGCCGGGACGCGGCTCGCGAGGTAGGACGACGTGTACTGCCAGTTCGCGGTGAGCGCGTTGTCGGCGATCTCGCAGATGTTGGTGATGCCTTGGCCTCCGAATCCGAGGGGCATGGTGACGCGGTCACGGACGAACTTCACGTTCATGTCCGCGTCGGAGAGGTCGACGATCTTCATCCACGCGTCGAGGATGGACGCGTGTCCTCGCTTGAACGCTTCGGCGGGAGCGCGCAGTGGATCAGGAGGAGCTTCGCAACTTGCGCGTCAACTGCACCGAGCGATATTAAGGCGTGTAAACGCTTCTGGTGCATGTTGTTGCGCTCGTTGACGAAGGTGTTCTGAAACGCAGGCGAGCCGAGGGGGGACCCAAGACACTTGACGCCGTTCACCATGGAGCCCACGGTGTGACCGGCGCGTGTGTCCCCGAAGTGGACGAAGGAGATGTCGCCGACCATCCCTGCGTCCGTGAAGGTGGAGCTCGAGAGCACCGGGGACGACCGACCTTGGGTCACGATCCATCCCTTGATGTGGAGCCCGGCGCGCGCGCCCAGCAAGCGTTGGTTCTGCGCGGCGGCGGCGGCGGCGACCGCGGGGGGGCCCAGGTGGTATCCGTTGTCGGCGTACCATGCTTGATGTACGTCTGGGTTCTCGCGCGCGGTGTCCCGCAGAACCGGGTGGATGGCGAGGCAAAATAGGAGCATGCCCAGGACGTCGCCTTGCGTCGAGCCCACCTGTGAGTCGACGAAGTGCCTCGCGCCATCAGCGCCGCGAACGGCGATTTTCGAGGGCTTCCCGTAGACCGTGAGGAAGAAAGGGAGGAGGGATCGTCCTTTCTCTTCGCCCAGCGCCATGATCCCCTCGACGATCGCGGTCCTCCACACCTCGTTGAACGCGTTCCGTACGTCGCCCTCGATGGCGACGTGCGTCGGGTTCAGGCGGAGGTATTCGTCTATGTGCGTGCGGCATAACTGCGTCCCGCGCGGGACGCCGACCGCGAGCTGGAGCAGACGACCGTTGCCCCCCTTTTCGGTGAAGTGCGCGTCGAGATCTTCGCGCCACGCGGACAGGAGGATCCGCCCGACGAGGTTCCGGAAGACAGCGCAGATCCCGATCGGGCGAATGCCCCCGTCCTCCTTCGCGAGCGCGACGAGGCGTGCGCGCGTGAGTAGCTCGGTGGCGGAGTCGTGGAGGTCACCCCGGGCGAGTGCGCGGATCAGCGAGGTGAGCGCCTCGATCGCGTCCGGGAACGCGCACAGGGCCTGGAGGGACTCGACTCGCCAGCCCATGCAGTCTTGGGCCGCTCCCCTCGTCGCGGACTTGAGGGCCTTGATGACGTCGGCGGGTTGGATGTCGGCGAGGAAGGGGAGGGTTTCCTTGGCGCGCTCCCAGGCGTCCTCGTCGTTGTCCAGTCTCGCCGCCGGCGGCGCGGCGGGGTGTTTTGCTTGCAGCGCCGCGATGGTGTCCGGTGTGCCTTGGACGACTTTCGTATCGTCAAGAGCTTGCACCGCGCGGGAGAGCTCGCCCACGCGGGCGAGACGCCGTGCGCGGGTGAAGGTGGGGTTGAAGCCGGGGTCCGCGGGGGGGGTGGTGCCGACGCCGGCCTGTCTTGCCGGCTGAGCCTGACGCTCGCGCGCCTCGTCGACGAGGGACTCCCATTCCCCGCCCATGAATCGGTTCAGGCGGCATATGACGTCTCGCCTGCCGGCGTCGCCGCCTCGCGGACTCTTGCCGTGTCGGACGGCCTCGAAGAGGAGCATGTGCGACGCCTCGAGCAAGAAACACGCTGCTCGAAGCTCATCCTCGGGCGCGTTGGCGTCAAGGGCGTTGACGGGCCACGCGCATAAAACCTCGAAAACGTCCGCCCATGTCGAGAGGGCGACCTTTGGCGCATTCGCGGACTGTCCGGGGTCCCGCTCGGAGAGGAAGCTGAGGTTCCCCGCGGCGTGCTCGCGTACCCACCATTCCTTCGCCTGGCGCAAGTCGTCGCCGCCCGTGGGCAGACCAAGCGTCACCGCGCGGGCCCGCGCCGGTGCTTCGCGGTTAACTGGGGGGAGATGCGCACGAGGGGGGACGCCACGGCGCGTGCCCCCGCCACGGCCTGGGCCGGACGCCGTTGTCTCCGCCGTGGATCGGGGCGGCGGGCGGATCGTGGACGCGACCCTGTCGAAGAGCGCCGCGACGTCCGGCGCGTCCGTACCGCGCGGGTCTGCGAGCGGGAGGCGCCTGTACTCTCCGTTGTTCGCGTTCCGCCTCGCACTCCTCTGCGCATTTGTACGCGCGCGAGGGCTTCCTAGCTCGGCACCGCTGTCATCGACGGGGACGACCACCGGCGAGCCGAAGGCGTTGTCATCCTCCTCCGCTCGGGGTCGATCCACGGCGTCCGCGCGGGTACTGACGGCGGCGAGGGCGTCGCTGCGAGGTAGCGCATCGGTGGTGCCTTGCGCGGATCGCGCTGGAGGCAGCCGCAGCAGCTCCGGCCGCGGCGACTCCGGCAGCGGCGACTCCGGCCGCGGCGACCCCTGCCGCGGCGACTCAGGCCGCGACGACTCAGGCCTCGGTGGCGGCGGCGGGCCCTCGATCATCGGAAAAGGCGGCGGCGGCGGCACCTCGGTCATCGGCAACAGCGGCACCCCGGCCATCGGCAGCAGCGGCACCTGGACCGTCGGCGGCGACGGCGCCTCGACCCTCGGCGGAGGCAACGCCCCGATCGTCGACGGCGGCGGTGCCTCGACCATCTGACCCGGGGGGTGCCTCGGCGGTGGTGGAGGAGGACCGGTCCTTACCGGCGGCGGCGGAGGGAGGCATAGTACGCGGTGGTCCGCGGCTCGTGCGTCCGTCGCGTCCGCCCGAGCGTTTGCGTCGAGGGCCGGATTTGCATCCGCTCGAGCGTTCGCGTCTAGGCCCGGAATTACGTCCACACGACCCGCCAGGGAGCGCGCCGCCGAGCCATCGCGGCCGGGGACAGCACGGGGCACGCCCCTTGTGCCCTTCGCCTTCGCTCGCGTGCCCGCGGCGGCGACGCGATCGGCATGGCCGGAGCCGGCGCCACGGCGGCCGCCCGCGGCTCGTGCATCCGGCGCGTTCGCACGCGCGTCGGCGCCGAGGGCTGGGCTGGCGTCCGCTCGACCCGGCGGGGAGCGCGCCGCTGAGCCACCGCGGTCGGGGGCAGCACGGGGTGCGCCGCTCACGTCCTTCCCCTTCGTTCGCGTGCCCGCGGCGACGCGAGCGGTCGGGGCGGAGCCCGCGCCTTGGCGGCGACCCGCGGCTCGTGCGTCTGTCGCGTCCGCTCGAGCGTTCGCGTCTAGGCCCGGAATTACGTCCACACGACCCGCCGGGGAGCGCGCCGCCGAGCCATCGCGGCCGGGGACAGCACGGGGCACGCCCCTTGCGCCCTTCGCCTTCGCTCGCGTGCCCGCGGCTGTACGTGTAGTGCACTCGGGCTCAGCATTCTTCATCGAGCCTCCTGTATTTAGTTGCCGATCTAGAATAAACACACTCTTTGCACCTATGTCGTGCCCGTCCGTGCTCACAAATCGCAGCCCCCCCACAGTCTTTACATTGACTTCTCATACGACCATGTTCACAGATGGAAGCACCGCCACACTGTTTACACGTGTATTTCAGTCTGTTGTGAAGACAAATAGACGCGCCACCGCAATCTTTGCACTTACTCTTCTGCCGACCGTGTGTACAAAGAGAAGAGCCACCACATTCTAAGCAGTAACGTTTTTCCCGTTTGTGTTTGCACATTGCGACACCAACGCAGTCCTTGCACCGACGCCGTTCCTTACCATGTTCACATATGCCATTATTACTGCCACAATGTTTACAGCTATACCGTCTCAGGCCGTGCTTGCAAAGAGATGTTCCGCCGCACTCCTTGCACCTCCGCTTTTCTCGGCCGTGTTCACATATTCCCGCGCCCCCGCATTCTTTGCACGTATAACGCTGCCTGCCGTGTTCACATACGTTTTTTTTCTTCTTTATAATACGCCTCTTCGGGTTTACAAGTTTCAATCTCGAATTGTCCTCCGGCACCGCTGTCTCTGCCGCCGCCGCTAGGTATTGGAGTCGCCCTGCCCCAATCTTCGCTTCAAATGCCACTGGAAGATTATTTATTTCTTTATTCACCACTAGTTTTCGAATCATACTCGCGTACATACATTTATTTCTTCATTTCTCCAGTTCAAGAAGTTCCCGGCTAGAATTCTTCCGGGCATGTGGGTATGTTGTCTTCAAAGTTTCTACCTTCGTATCCGACTTGCACACCCGGGTATTTGGTGTGTAACAGGCACGCATGGGATATATATACTCACAATCGACGGTCTAATTTCGCTCGACCCGCAAAAGTCTTCGCCTTTCGAAAAACTAAGTAAACTTTTACTTCTCATTATTTAATACTTGTATTAAAAGTTATTATTAAAGCGTACGTGTACGTGTGCAACTGTGCACAGCTGCACACAGTAAATAAAACAACTTACGAAAGTACTTTATTTATTGTACACGTACTTGAGTAATACTCAAGTAATACTCATGCATCAAGTATTACTTGAATAATACTTGAGTTATTTGAGTAATACTTGAGTATTACTCAAATAATACTTGACTGAATACCGTTGAGACTGATGAACGGTCAACAAACAACGGGATTTTTAAACGGCTCACCTTCGGCGGCGCGCCTTCTTCTTCTGGATTAGAGGCGCCCCGCGGTGGCGACACAGCGGTAACCGGCGCGTCGGAAGGTTCTCGAGGTGCAGGATCAAGATGGGGATCAACAGATTCCTTGAAGTTGCCTTTTTGTCGTTGCCCGGGAGAATCTTCCCACGGCCACTGCATATTTATAATTTTACTTTCAAAATCCCCGTTCGTCGTATGCGACGCTCTCCGGTGCGTGACGAGCGCACGGCCTTTCGTGGCGTGGCGATGCTACGTCAAGTGGTGGCGATGTAGCTGGCGTTTGATCTAACGAACACTCTTCAAAGCGGGGGTGGGTAACTGGGTATGCCGCAGATGGATCTGGAGTTAGGCTTTGAAAAAATGGTTTTTTGCTGACTGTTGTACGGAAAGTACTTCCGTACACGTGTACGTGTACTATAGTACCTTCGTACGAAAGTAGCTAGCTCAGACTCCTAAAAGAGACATATACCCTAAAGTCGTTTCCGAATGCTCTGTACAGCCATAATCTGAAAAGATTCCACGAGCCGAAATCGCGCCGTGTCAACCTCGAAGGCGAATGCGACTTCGCCACTTTTCGGCTCGAAGCCTCGGATTGAAGTTTTGGTCACCCTCAGCACAACCCTCAGCGACGTCCGGAAGTTCGTAGGTATCCCTTGCCTTGACTTTCGACGCATGTTTAGGAGAAACATTAATACCACTGCTGGATGTTATCTGGTTGTTGGTTGCCACGACATCGAGTGGGATTGTGCACGCGTTATTTATTAGTATCTTTCGTGATATGACCCTAAACCCTGGATCTCAGAAATAATATGACGAGAATACTTTACGAAGCTTTAGGTTTCGGTGTTGCAAAAATGAAGAGCAGGTGTGAAGAGATGAAAAGAAATACAAGCGCCTTCCACTACGCAGTTGCGAAAAATTCAAAAAGGACAGAGCTTGGGACCCTCTCGCGATCGTCATCAGTGATATATTCTTAAGCGGGCTTCGCAAAATTCTTCTTCGTCTCCGGGCCGAATAACAACCCACATAATTGAAGACGAGCGTTGAGCTGGGGTCTTGGATTATCTATTACGTCACTGCGCTGTGTTAGTTCGTCGCCTACCGCTTTCATAAATTCGCGGGTCGTTTCCTGGAGGTCACCCACACGTACATCTTCAGCAAATGCAGAGACAGCGGCAAAGGAAGAAGCGGATATGGCACGTGCAGTGGTTGCGTTGAAGTGAGAGTGGCAAAGCTCCCCATCCCCGCACGATGTCCTGTGCCCTTTCAGACACGACAAGTCATTCAGAAAAAAAAGTTCAAAAAAGAGTCATAGTCAACTTCGCCTTTCTGATGCACCTGCTTGAAGATATCGAATGGTTTGTGCAACAGAAATGGCACCGGCGCGTCCTTGAAGTGCCCAGATAAGTAACTTTGGTGCTGAACGATATCCTTACACATCACTTCCAAACTGAAAGCGGTTGCCTCTGTGATGTCCGCTATCGTGTATTTATCCTGGTTTAGATAAAATACAAAATACACATCTTCATTTTCCTGTGAAGTAGTGTTCTCTGCATATTCTCGTGCAATCACTCGCATTGTTTGCGAATTTCGAAGCGATACGCCCCCGTTTCCCACTCGGACGTCGTGTGGGATCTTTCGCGTGTCGTGTAACATGCGCACCGCTTCTTCTGGTCTCGCATCGATGTCCAAGTAACCCCAGTTTCCTTCGTGGCACCAAGGGGCTCCTATATAATCGAGCTGCAACCAGTCTGTCCTAAATTTCCCTAGAGGCGGGAACCACGCATCGGATTGAAATGTCAGAACGTGTTTCACATTCTTTCCAAGGGACAACCAAAACTCTTCTGACTTCCAAACACGGTTGTAATTGCTCTTGTAACGGGGATCAAAGCCGTGTTTCGTGTCGATTAATGAACTGATAGAATGATAAACGACGCAGTCGAAACCTTGAAGACTATCCCTGACGAACACGACGTTCGAATCCGTATGCCACACGTGAAATCTCCACTCCTCTCCTAATTTCTGCACAAGTTGAGTGGCCGTCGCCCTTAAGGCATACTCGTACCTGTCGTCAAAGTATAATATCGCCTTCATGTCTTCGTGAATAGACGGGCAGGCGTTTATATCTAAAGCTGGCTCTAACGGAAATCCTCGCTCGTATCTCGCAATCCTCGCACGAATCGCAAACCACACGTCTCGGTTTTGTGGCGTCAGCTTCTGGCCAAACAAAGTGAACAGCGACGCCACGCCACTATCAAACTGTGTCGAGAAATGTTCAGCACGCGATCTCGCCAACATGCTCAGATCTTTGAACTCTTCATGAGTTGCCAGAATCAACTGCTTCGTGCTGGTGGCTAATTCAACATATGAAACTACTTTCAAATAGTCGGGAAACCCTTCCAGGATCTCGCGCGGTCCGCCACGATTGACGACGACAGGAACAAGCCCTGCGCTCATGCACTCGAGCAAAGCGAGACCAAAGTGCTCAGCGTTGCCTGGATCTAATCCCTCCTCGTGAATACCGGTTGTCGACCAGACAATGTCGGCGGCACGTATTGCGGAGCGTACGGCATTTTCGTCGGCATTCGCGTTTATGTATACGCCGCCCGTCCACAGGGCCTGCAATCGGACATATCGCAAATACATTTCATGGCCTTTGACTACATGCCCGAGAAGTTCAAGTTTCAGTCGCACTCCCGGCAAGGACTTCTTCAACATTGAAAACGCCTTGATCACAAACGGGTGACCTTTCCCCTGCGAACCTTTGAAAAAACGACCGATCAGCAAGATGCGCACGTTGCGGCCCTTTCCATGAAGTACGAATGAGTTCACCTTTTCCATGGCTTGAAGTTGAAATGGTGGAGAAAAATGTACAATCCGCGGCAGATGAATTTGCTCGAAAAGTTCGGGTGCATAGCTGTCCTTGAGCTTTGTAGTAAACTTTCTCGTCGGAAGAGCCGCAGCTTTTGCACTGACGAGTATACGCTCGTACCACGACTTTGTGTAGTGCGAGTTTACATATACGATGTCATATCCTGTCAACCGTCTTATTCCTGGGACGAGTTTGTTCACTGTGATCACCTTATTTTTATTGATTTCGCTCATGGGAAACTGGCAGTGGTAAATGTTTAATCGACCTCTACTCTCAACTTGCGGCAATAGAATGTTCGCAATGCTGAACCATACATTGTACTTCGGCCTCGCGCGATTCACAGCTTTAACCGAGAATTTCCTCCAGTCTATGCCATTCACCTGTAACTTTTTAGCGAGCACCTTGACGCACTGCACCTTGACGCACACATTTTTCGGTTTCACTAGAAGGTCGACTCTTTCGTTCGTGAGCTGCTGAAACTTGGAGACGAAGCTTAGGATGACCTTTTCGCCACCGCCCGGTGTCAAGTTGATGGGCGTGTAGATGGCGCTGTATCTGTGTGAGCTACCAGACTCTTCTACGATTGTCCCGTACCGAGACACGTAAAGGTAGCAGGCGTAGCAGCACGCAAGGACCACGATCGAGATTCGAAAGGCTGGCTGAAGGCGCGCCCTACGGCTCCTCCGACAAGTTTTAAACCGCATGTGCGTGAAGATGAGAATGACGCGCGCTATTGCGACGAGGGCATGCGACGACCTACGCTCGTCGCTCGCGCACTCGCTAGAACCGTTCTTTGATAGGGCACGGCAGTATTTCTATTGACGCTCTGGCCGCGATAACTAAAAAGATGATGAGATCGTCAGTGGCACGAGTACAATATGTATGTGTAGGGGGGCGTACGTGTACGTGTACGTGTACACCGTACACCTACCTTTTTCTAAAAGTGAAATTTAGAAGTTTTTCGGTGTCACGTGCGTTTGTGAAAAAGTCACTCAGCACGAGTCAATCTTTGTATCAAACGTTCCTCTTGAACGCGAGAGGGCTCGAACATGTCGTGCTTCACGCCCCGAGCAGTCCGCCTTCTCACGTTTTTTTCGGCAATCTTGCTCCTGCTTTCGGTGGTTTCAAAATCGCGAAAAAGGGCGCTGTCGAACTATGTCGTCTCAAGAAAACGTGATCCAGCACTCGCGAGTCGCGTAGACGCAATCTTGGAGAGGTCGCGTCTTGTGCGCGAGACCATGAGCGCTTCTGGAGGAAATTTTTCGACTGTCGTGAAGACAACGGCGCGACGTTGTGATACTTTGCTCTCGTCGTCGTCTAGAAAGAAATTCAGCAAGTCTCAGGACAAAGAAGACCAGTTCCTCGAGGATTCGTTTTTCAAAGGCGTTTGCGAAGGTACGTACGTGGAGCTTGGCGGCTTGGACGGCGTCAAGTTTTCGAACACACACATGTTCCATCACGGTCTACGTTGGCGCGGGGTTCTCATAGAGCCGAGTCCGAGGAATTTTGCTCGCTTGACAGAGAACAGACCGCGCGACGAACTGTACAACGCCGCCGTTTGCGCGCAACACTCTCAGGTGCACTTTATCGAAGCTCTCAACTCTGTGAGCAACGGGGCTAGCAGCGGCGTGCTGGAGTTCATGGCGCCATCATTCGTCGAACACTGGAAGGACAGACTGACGGCAACGGGTTCGACGCTGACGAAGATAGAATGCATGCCGCTGAGTGATATATTGCTAAAGAGCGATGCGGGGCGAACACACGTTGACATGTTAAGTCTCGACGTCGAGGGTGCCGAGCTCGAAGTGTTGAGGACCCTCGATTTCGACAAGCATCAGTTCGGCGTGATCTTCTACGAGGCTGACGAGCACGACCCTGTAAAATACGCTTCTTACCTTGGCCCCGACGCGTTACCCAAAGGTGTGACGCTAGGGTCGATCGTAACGAAGTCAAGACCCGAAGCTCCGAGGTCGTGCGTCGAAGCTGTACAGTACGCGAATTTCCGCTGGTACGACTTGGGCGGCTCCGGGTCGAGTTCGAAAAACGGTGTGTACACCGAGGAGGTTCTTTCACAACTGCGATACCGGCAAGACGTCGACATCGCTCGGCGCGAGTACGAGACGCGACATCGCGTGACGTTCGAATGGATTGTAAATCCCCGCCCGGATAACGTTTTTGTGAATCCAATACCAATTTTAAGCGAAGTAAACTCTGCGAAGTTGTACGTGCCGAGTTGGGGACACGGATACGACTCGCGTAGTTTAAGCGAAGACAAACGGCGAGTGGGTATCAACGACCGATTCTCGTTTGGTGGTCGCGAGGTGATGGGGAAGTACAACGAGTTATACGGAGTTTTGTGCGGCGGCAGTGGAGCAGGAGGGAAGAAGCTTAGTATCCGAGCACGAGAAGCCCTCGACGCCGTGATCACTAGAGACAGTTTACGATGATAGCGTTGCGACGTATGTTTCCGGACTGGTCATTCGCGAGAAACGTCGGGATGCCGGGAGGATTGTGGGATTGCTTTGGAGACCTCGCGTGATCGAGGTACCGAAAACGAGAAAAGAGCGGTCGATGGCATGATGGAGAGAGAAAACTTGGTGCTATCTATTAGAGAATCACGTAGACTAGACTAGTTATCCTATTTCATTATTCTTGCATCGTTTTCATTTGCGAACCCGTCATCATCGCCTCGGCGTCGTGCACTTCGGCGACAGAGAGTTGTCGGACTGCATGGCGCACCTCACTTTTTGCCAAAAAGTACTGTTGCGCGTGCGTATATATGTCCGGGTCGATCTTCTCTTCAGTTGGGCGACCGCTTGTGTTGTGATACATCGACACGCTTCGACGCGAAAACGGCGAACGGATCGGGTCCGTGTATCCGTGATACGAGAAATCCGTCGTGCGAAAAATAACCAAGCGACTAAATAAGGGCTCAATTTTCACAGCTGCTCACGTCGCGCGGCCACAATTCGAGAGCAGCACCATCCATCAAAACATCACGTATCCGGGCACGTGACTTTTTCTACGCGGGACTTTTGGCCGAATATCACATATCAGGCAAGTGTTTTTTTTATTACAGGGTAGCCTGGAAAAAGTGCAAACCGTACAGCCGTGAGGGAACAAGAAGTAAGACGGTCACGACGCGGTAGACGACGGCGGGAACCGTGAAGTGAGCTGCAAACGACGAGCGCGATGCGCGCGGGTCTCCGACGCGCGCGAAGAAACCATTGCGCCGGGGAACGACCGACGTGTCGAGCTCCCACCGCCGCGTCCGCCGGTCGCTGTCGCCCCACGTCCAAGAAAAATAAAGTTTCACCGCTGAAGGCATTTTTTTCGGTGTCACGCGTTTATGTTGACGTCACTCAGCACGAGTCAATCTTTGTATCAAGCGTTCCTCTATAAACGCGAGTAGGCTCGAACATGTTGTGCTCCACGCCCCGAGCAGTCCCCCTCTCACGTTTTTTTTCGGCAGTCTTGCTCCTGCTTTCTGTGGTTTCAAAATCGCGAATAAGTGCGCTGTCGGACTACGTCGTCTCAAGAAAACGTGATCCAGCACTCGCGAGTCGAAGATAATTAGGCGTAGACGCCAGTCTACGCGGCACCGTGCGGTAATAAGTTCGGGCGCTCCTCGAGGGATTCCGTCCTCCTCGTTCGTTTTACGCTGACGAGACTTTTTCGCGTTCGGGAGTTCGGCCGTAACTTTGCTCACGCCTTTGCTTCCGAACTGTTTCGGGTGCTTGTTGACGTGCTTCTATGCGCTCCAGATGAACGTCGCATCCGCGAGGTCGAGAATGAACTGCTTCTGTGAGACAACACACGGAGTTTTGCGAAAAGTTAGCTCGGCCTAGTTTTATTTATATGTCTTGGACTTATCATTCGTTGAAGCAAACGGGCTTTGAGTGGAAAAACGAAGTCTGCTGGCGGCGGTACACACGACTTCCACGATGGCGCCAGCCCTTGCTGAAGTATCACCTTCCTTGGAGTCCCTGAGCAATATCTTACATTTCCTGGTGTGAATAGACCAAGCGAACGAATCAAGGCATCGGTCGCCACGGTACCACTGTTGAGCTCAGAACAACGACCTGTGGTGAGATGCATAATGCACGAGTTCGGCGTTTTCTTGTCAAAGATCACGTCCCGCCAGGCTGAGTACATTTCACCTGCGCTTGGATCACTCGTGAGGACACTCCAATCATGACTGTATGTGTTACCCGTTCGTGGTCGAGTGAAATGTCCAATATCCCAAAGCTTGAGTAAGTTGCCAGTCCGTTCTTGTCGTTCGTATAACGCTTCAATCGCCGGGTAGTCGCTGATATGTCTTCCGGTGAAGAACTCCTCCTTCCACTCGCGCAGCAACTTCGCACTGAACACACGATGCACCATGAACGATCCAACGTGCCACCCAGCTGAGCCGAGCGACGTGTACATGGGAGTCGCGTGCGAAAATTCGGGTATCGCGCACATCAGGTTGTTCCGCGCGCAGCCGTGGACTCCAAAGACGACGTCGCAGTCGTACCACGCCGCAATTTCGATGCGCTTCGGGAGGTAGTCGAAGATATCCATCTTTATGGACATGTCCTTCAGATACTTTCGCAAAGGTCGTCGTCGACTTCTTGTCCCATTTGTCCTCTCGGCGTCACTCGACTTTTCAAACGGCGATCCTTCGTCGACGTAGACCACGTGTACCCTGTCGTATCCGAGCCTCGCTCTGAGCTCTTCTTGCGATGGGACGCACGACGAAGCGATATTTTCCGTGATGAAGTACACGTCTCCGTCGTATCCCGCCACGCGCACGAGAGATTCGATCGCCAGCACGCACTTGAATGCTTCAAGTCGCGCGTACCCACCCAAACCCCCGAAGACGAAACCAAAATTACCCGGGGTCGCCGCGCCCAACGTCCGCGTGTCGTTGGTTCCTGAACGACACAGTTTGGACGGCGGATAGTACGCGCCGCCGCCTCCTCCTCCTTTCGGGTCGTGCAGTGTTTTCCAACGTGCGTCCCTCGACAGGGCTTCGACCGCTGCCAAATGGTTTCGGCGCAGCTCGCTCAACGAACGCTTCGTCGAGAGCACAACGAACGTGAGCAGACAGCAAGACAGAAGAAACACGCGACATGTTCGCGAGGACTTTTTATATGATGAACGCACGCGCGGCATCGACTCGGCCGCAACGCACTTGCCGTGCGGTGGTAAAGTTTGAAGCAGCGCGAAGAAGAGTGCGTGCGCGCGAGCGTGAGAAAAAACATTTAATAGACTCAGATAAAGTCTGGGTAAAATTAGGGTAAACTTTTACCTGTACACGTACACGTACGTGTACGTGTACAGTAAGTTCACTGTACTGTACCTTTTTTTTACGAGTATACGAAGGTACCATCAAGCATGGATGGAGCTGGCTGAGAAAACATACGCGGAACACGCGTGGGAACGTCATGTACAGTCCGGCGCTGGAAAGCGCCCTGATCGGGTGTTTCGGCGGTCTTTTCGCCACGCTCTGCGTCTACCCTCTCGACCTCGTCAAGAATAAGCTCAGTGCGCACGTCGAAGGGGACGTAGGTGACCGGAATGTAGGTGCACCACCGGTCACGTCTTCTTCAGTCGCTGCAGCGATCTTCAAGGAAAAGGGCGTTTCGGGTTTTTACTCAGGGATTACCGGACGCGCGTTGCACTGCTTCGTGGAGGATTTTGTTTTTTTCTGGTGCGTGTTCTACAGTGGTCTCCACGATTGCTAAGTTTTCCCTGCTTCCTCTGACGCGGCACTTCTTGACTCATCATCTACAACCGATACCAACTCGTAATGAACCAGGTGGTATTCCTCCGTAAAGAACTACGCGTTCGAGCGAATCGCGAAACGCGAAGGCCGCGCGCGTCATCTCACCGTCACGGAGGGTCTCGTCACCGGCGCTGTCGCGGGAATAATAAATAACGCGTGCACAATCCCACTGGACGTCGTGGCAACCAACAACCAGATAACATCCAGCAGTGGTATTATAGTTTCTCCTGAACATGCGTCGAAAGTCAAGGCAAAGACCGGGCTAACAGCGACTGTAAAGGCGATATACGCGAAGGGCGGGATCAAGGCATTCTGGGCCGGACTCGGCCCTTCGTGCCTCCTCGTCATTAATCCCGCTGTGCATTTCATGGCGCTCGATCAGCTCAAGGTAATGTACAAAAGACTAATAATACAACGAAAGAAACTAGATAAGAGGTCATCGCGAGTCAGGGTGACGGCGGCGGCGTTATCACCACTCGAGGCATTCTTTATCGGAGCGGCGGCGAAGTCTTTAGCGACTTCAGTGACGTTCCCACTCATTCGCGCTAAGGTTTTGTCAATGTCGCGGGGACGTCACGATCTCGGCGGTAATCGTCGCGTGAATGGTATGAGAAACGAAGGTGAGACAAATAATAATTTTGCTACGTTAGACGTCATCGGCGAGGTGATCAGAAACGAAGGATTCGCGGGTTTATACAAAGGGCTCGGCGTGCAACTGTCAAGGAGTGCTTTGGCGGCAGCCATCATGTTTACAACCCGGGAGCAGCTGGAGAAACTCACGGCGGGGACGTTGCGGAGGTTGAAAGATGCGGCGGTGGGAGCGGCAAGACGGTGAGCGTCTGATTTCGTGCTTTATGACGAGCGCCAGATAAATTTCTACTCACAACTTTGCGGCCCGTTCCATCATCGGATCTTTCCCAATGGCCGACGGCACGATGCCCTCGTACGTGTTCGGATCGTCCGCCCACATCTTCAAGTTTAGCCAGTGCGAGTTCGCGATCGTCCACTGTATGCACTTCCTCAGCGATTCTTCGAATCCGAACGGCGGTACCCATCCCATCTTCGCCATCTTTTCCCCACTTAAACCGTACCTGTTGTGTGCAGAATAGAATACACGCGTTCTTAAAATAGTCAACAGTTTAAAAGAAGTCCACGTAGAAGGAATATAAATTGATATGATTTGCGCCCGAGCGAGCAGGTCACAGAGCTCACAAAGAGTGAGTATACACCGGATAGAAGATAAGAGTGAGAGCTCGCCGTACCGCAAGTCGTGCCCTGGACGCGTCGCGTGGTGGTTCACCATCTCGTAGACGAGCGTTTTCTTCGCCGTATCGGCGATGAAGTGTGCGAGTTCAAGGTTCGACACCTCACTCTCGCCGGTGATGTTGTACTTCTCCCCGATAGCGCCCTCGTTGAGCAAGAATACAACAGCCGCGGCAATATTCCGGGCGTGAATGTAGAACCGTGTCCCGGACATCTTCCGATCCGGGTACGAGTGAATGAACACCTTCTCGTTATCGATGACTTTCTTAATGCACTTGGGTATGAATTTCTCAGGGTGCTGACGCTCGCCGAACGCATTCATCACGTTCACAATCATGAGCGGGATCTTGTACGTGTTCTCATACGCGATGCATATGTTTTCCGCAGCCGACTTGGAAGAAGAATACGGGTTCGTAGGCTTGTGCCGGTCCCACTCGTCGAACATCGTCGTTCCAAACGCGGGACCGAAAACTTCATCCGTGGAGAAGTAAAAGAAAGCCTTCAAGTCACACCCGTTTCGAATCAGTCCTCGGGTGTATTCAAGCAGCGAGATCGTGGACTCGACGTTGTTACGAATGAACGGCACGGGATCGGCGATGGAGTTATCAACGTGCGTCTCCGCCGCCATGTGGACGATGAATTCGATGTTGTTCCCGAGCTCGTACGCGATCCCCTCCGGAATGGGCTGGACCAGGTCTGTCGTGAACACCTTGACGCGGTCGAGCACACCGGTGTCACGCAGTCGGTCGTAGCCAAGAGACGCGTAAGACAGCTTATCGATTACGACTAAGTTGCAATCAGTCGTTTTCGCGAGGTGCTCGACGACGTGGTGCCCGATGAACCCGCATCCGCCGGTGATGATGATCTTTTTGCGAGCGATAGATCTTGGCACCGGTAAAGTAGACGCGAACTCTTTGATCGAGTCCGCGACGTACTCGCGCTCACTCGGGGTGATCCACCATCCGACGGGAATGCATATCAGGGTCGTTTCCGTGCGGTCCAGCTGCGGAAGGTGCGTGCGATACGGCGCACATACCGAGTGCGTGTCGTTCCTTGCGTGCACTTGTGAGACCACGACGTTCTTGTTCTTCATGAACTCTATGAATTCAAGTTTATTCGCGATGTGAAACGTGTAGATCCAGTACGAGGAAACCGCACCCTCGGGTTGAGTGAGCAGGGTGACCCCGTTAACGCCTGCGAGTGCTTTGTCGTAAAACGACGCGTTAGCGCGGTGCTTCGCGACGATGCCGTCGATGTGGGGGAGATTCGCGAGCCCGAGCGACGCGGCGAGGTCGTTCATGTGCATCTTAAAACCGTACTCCGTGACGTCCGACTCGAGCCTAAAATCTTTGCCCTTGTAGTTGCGCTTATCGCGATCTATCCCGTACCATCGAAGTAACTTCCCACGCGTGTACAAATTCTTGTCCGGAAGGAGCAGGAGGCCTCCGTCTCCAGTCGTCAAGTGCTTGATCGCTTGGAGGGAGAACACGACGATGTTGCCGTTTTCGAGCGCGCCGATTCTGCGCCCCTTCCACTCCGCGCCCATCGCGTGCGCAGCGTCCTCGATGATCACTGGACGAAAACCAAACCGTTCGTAGGCGAACTGCTGAACATCCTTAATCGCGTCGAGATCCACTGGAGAGCCACCCCAAAGCACGAACTGAAGTACTTTCGTAGTCGGGGAGAGCTTGTACTTGAGATCCTCGAGGCTGATGTTTGCGGTTTTAGGATCGACGTCGACCCACTTGGGTCGCAGGCCGTTCGCGAGTATTGGCCAATTGGTGGCCGTGCACGTCAGCGCGGGGGTGAGAACCTCGTCACCCGGTGCTAAGCCGGGCCACGCTCCTGCTGGAGATTTCAGCATGTGAAGCGCGAGGTGCAACCCTGAAGTCGCGCTGTTCAGGGTCAAAACATACGGGTTTTGGAGGTATTCTCCGAGCTTCTCTTCGAGCTCCGCGACTCGAGGACCTTGCGTTATGTATCCACTAGTGAGTGTCTTGGACGTTTGCTCCGCCGCGTCCGGTGCGACGAAAACCTTGAACAACTGGATCGGGGTTTCGTTTATCGGTGAGGCGGCCGTAAAACTTCGTCGCATAGGCTGTATTTCTTTGAGATACACCATATATTATATCTACGCGAGTTTCTACGCGTATCGGGCGTGAGGGGGTCCGGCGGAGCGCTTCAGACTTTTGCTTATAAACACGGCTGTGAGAGAGTAGATGATGACTACGAGTACACCTGTACAGCTGCACGCGTAGTTGGAAAAAAATGTTTTGGGGCCACACAGAACAGGTACTGTAGTAGGCCACACGGGTTTGGTGGTCTAATTTTATACGGAGTTTCTTGAGTCAGGCGTTATAACGTGCTTGAAAAGTCGTGCGCGACTCCCGTAACAACGCGCGCGTGTGGCGACCTAGTACCGACCCGCGCGTCGCCGTCGGCACGCTCACCGCATCCAATGGTCGTCATTACGCCGCTTACGGGCAACGGTTCGCAAGAAAACGAACATACCATCGTCCCGGCCGCGCCTATTTCCGCACCCGTCGAGGTAGATGCTGATGCCGCCGCGACTTTGGCCATTTTGAACGCATCGGACCCCACCGACCCCCTCGGGCTCGTGCCGCGCGATTTGAACGTTCCCACGGACAAATGGACGGTGAAAAAGACTATCCACATCGCCATCTCGACCTTCGAGGGCGACATGGACGCCAACGTCAAGAAGTTGACCGAGGCGTGGGTGGACTCGAAGGTCCATCTGCAGCGGAAGCTGGACTGGAATAACGAACATTGGACCTCATGGGAGTACGCGTGCTGTCATCGGAAAAAGAAGTGCCCATTCCGAGCGAAGGCGACCAGGCGCTACCTTGAAGGCATTGGGGACACGATCGAGATTGAAGTCAAGGGCGAGCACACCGATCACGCGACACGGGAGAAGCAGTTCGGGCTCTCCGAAACGGTGAAGGGCTTTATCAACGCGAGGATCCACATGAAACCGATGTCATGCCACATGGAGTTGGTCAAGTGGTACGACGGCGCCCACGCGGGGGTCACGGTCGCACAGGTGCAGGCCTATTATGGGAATAACAAGAAGCGGATAGCCGCTGCTAGGTTCAAGAACACGGTCGCGGGCTGGCGCGAATGGGTGAAGAAGCACCCGTGGCACCCGCACCTCGCCGATGACGTTTCCGCCGTTGCATATTCCAAGTTCGAAATGCCCGGGTGCTTCCATGTGCTCCTGACCACCAACCGCATGCTCAAGAGCATCGTCGAGCAGCGCCGCTACCATCACGCGTACAAGCAGGCCGACGCCACCTGGAAGATAACATGGGAGGGGCATCCGCTGTTAGTCATGGGCACGGTGGACTGGGGACAGAGATTCATCCCCTCCGCTTTCATGCTGTCCAGGTCTGAAACCGACGACGATTACGGCAGCATGGAGGAGGCTGTCTACAACTGCCTCGTGCAGATGTATCCCGCGCGGACGCCCGACGGAGAGCTCGCCCGCGCCATACCTATCCTCTGCTCGGACGGCGCGTTGGCGATAAAGAACGGAGACATGGCCGCGGCCATGAGGACGGGTCGGAGCGCGGGGTACACGGACTGGGATTACGACAAGATGCTCACCTGCTGGTTCCACGTGAACCAGGGGGTGGAGAAGAACGCCAGAGCCGCGCTGACAGGCTCCGCGGAACAGAAGAAGACCATGTACGCGGAGTTCAAGGGCGACCTTTGGCTGCTGCACATGCTGCCGTATGGCTTCCGGACCGCCTTCGACGTCCTGTGCGAGTCGCTGGGAGAGAAGTGGAAGAAGCGTGATCAGCCGGCGTTGTGGGAATGGTTTGAGACGGGATGGCTGGGCCCGAGGAAGAGATGGTCGAGGGCATATGCTCCCGTGGGCCTCCCGAGCACCTCGAATCAGACCGAGCGACACAACCGCACGCTCAAGGAAATCATGCAGCGCTTACGGTCCGGCGCGAACACGTTCATCGGCCAGTTGCAGGAGCACGTCGGGTACTGGTCGAAATATATGATGAAACCGAACGCCATTCCCAGCGGGCCACAGGTCAACGGCGACATGTGGGAAGAGGTGGAGGTGAGTACCCCGACCCAAAGCCCCGCTCACGCCCCGTACTGACCGCGCACAAACTCACCTCGCAGAAATACATGAAGAACGTGGACATCCCCGAGCTCGAGGCAATTGCGCATGGTGATCTTGCTCTCTATCCCTCGGGAGCAACGATGAAGTTCCTGAGGCAACGCGACGCGGAGAAGGGGTACGCCACCGTCGCCGAGCGCAAGGAACGGATCCTCGCGGACGGGCTCGCCCTCGCCGAGAAGTGTGCGGACATGTGGGTGAAGCTGCGCGACCTGAAATATGGGGAGGGGTGCGAGGTGAGTCCGGCGGACTTCGACAGCGTCATGAGCATCTTTCACAGCTTTAGGGTGCTCACGCCGCTGGAGCGCCCGTGGGAGAGTGACTGTCCGTCGATGTACCAGTGCTGGTCGTGTCCGGACGGGGTGAAGCACGGTGTGTGCAAGCACGCTCTCGTACACACAGTCCATATGAACCCAAGCGTATGGCCGAGTGAGCGCACCAAGCTGACCGCGCTGAGGAAGCGAGGGAAAGGGGCGCCCCAGAAGACGAAGGCTGCGCTGCAGTTCCATCTCGATGAGTTCTTACCGTCTCTCGAGGATATCGCGGACGTTGTTCCGACGCTCGGCAAGCGTCAGTCCGATTCGCTGACCGCACCGGCAGCACCTACGCGCAGGTCAGCGCGGACGGCGGTGCCAGCACCCATCGTAGACATGTGAGGGGCGTGGCGCGCGTGTGAGAGGGTGAGAGGTAGATTCGTCGTTTTTACTTGGTGCCTGACCGGTGCCTGACTCAAGAAACTCCGTATAAAATTAGACCGTCAAACCCGTGTGGCCTACTACCAGACCTGTGTGGCCCACAAAAATTTTTTTCCGCGTAGTTGCTATGCGAGTTCAAAACTCAGGCTTTCATCATGTATATGTATACAACTATACATGCATGCATGTTTATTTTATGGTCACCATACATATGCATGCATATTTCTAGCTAGCTAGATGAAAATAACAACATAACTTATATATAATTATATATATATATATATATTCATATTATATTTTATAATTTATATATCTTCGAAGATATAAATAAATAAATGTATGATATATAGTATGATACTTTCGTACATTTATATATATTTAGCTTCATTTACAACTAAAATATAAAATATAACGAACGCGGCTAGTATGCTATCTATTATAAGAGTGAGACACACATTCCTCGTACGCAGAGACGAAGCATCGCCAGGCACGTCTCGTTAGTGAAGAAGTATGTACAGTTGTACACGTTGGACTTCAGCCTTCGTCCGACGTGAGCTCTAAGAGCTGGAAAACCAAGGCTTCGAATCACAGGGTTCGACCCGGTGTTCCTTTCCCTCGTTTAATTATCTTCGATAATTTGCAGTATAGAGTTCGAGGTTCGAGCTTTATTTATTATTTCCTCGTTTCTGTGGACGAAGCACTAAGTGCAGGAGACGCCAACTTTTACAAAGAAGTGCAACATGCCCACCACTGCACGAAAAGTGAGCTCAGAACGAAACACGCGTAAACGTCGTGCGATACCCCACGTGGTCGCGGTGATGACATTGGCGTCTGTGCTGCTTGCTTTGGTAACTCATCTGAGTTTTTCAAAAACCAAAGAGATCAAAAAAATGAAAATTTCACTTTTGAGCCGAGACTATGGCCGGGAGGGCATGGGCGCGAACGTGCGAAGTTCAACTCGCGAATATGATGAGAAGACCTCAGGGCGTGGTGGTCACGTCGCCGTGTACATCACCGGCCAGGCGCGGAGCTTGGATCGTACGATATGTTCTCTGCGACGAAACGTTTTCGCTCCCCTCGTTCAACAAGGATACGCCCTGACAATTTTCGTCGTCGGCGAGGACGATGCTGATGATGCTTATAAATACGCTTCTTACCTTGGCCCCGACGCGTTACCCAAAGGTGTGACGCTAGGGTCGATCGTAACGAAATCAAGACCCGAAGCTCCGAGGTCGTGCGTCGAAGCTGTACAGTACGCGAATTTCCGCTGGTACGACTCGGGCGGCTCCGGGTCGAGTTCGAAAAACGGTGTGTACACCGAGGAGGTTCTTTCGCAACTGCGATACCGGCAAGATGTCGACATCGCTCGGCGCGAGTACGAGACGCGACATCGCGTGACGTTCGAATGGATTGTAAATCCCCGCCCGGATAACGTTTTTGTGAATCCAATACCAATTTTAAGCGAATTAAACTCGGCGAGGTTGTACGTGCCGAGTTGGGGACACGGATACGACTCGCGTAGTTTAAGCGAAGACAAACGGCGAGTGGGTATCAACAACCGATTCTCGTTTGGTGGTCGCGAGGTGATGGGTAAGTACAACGAGTTATACGGAGTTTTATGCGGCGGCAGTGAGGCAGGAGGGAAGAAGCTTAGTATCCGAGCACGAGAAGACCTCGACGCCGTGTTCACTAGAATGCCTGCGCGGATGAACTTCGAGCAGCTCGTGCACTGGTACCTGAGAACGGTCGTACGAGTACAAACGGAGCATATACCGGGCGAGTTTTTGTTTTTCCGTCTGCGCAAAGGTCCCGCGCCGCGAACGCTTCCGCTCGAACACCCTGGGCACAGACCAGCACTCGTTTCTTTCCTGCGTTTTAAGTTCCGGTTAGAGACGGAGGCGAAACGCTGGGACGTCTGGAGAAATGCGTGTATGCTCGTATGGGAGTGCGATGGGTCTGAAGCGGTGCGACAGGGTATGGAAGCAATAGCGCGGGCGCAGACAACGCGAAGACAATTTACGATGATAGCGTTGCGACGTATGTTTCCTGACTGGTCATTCGCGAGAAACGTCGGGATGCCGGGAGGATCGTGGGATGGCTTTGGGGACCTTGCGTAATCGAGGTACCGAAAACGAGAAAAGAGCGGTCGATGGCATGATGGAAAGAGGAAACTTCAGTTGGGCGACCGTTTGTGTAGTAATACAAACGGCGATCGGATTGGGTATTCAGACGGACACGACGTGGTAGACGACGGCGGGATTTGACGCGGTAGACGACGAGCAGGATGCGCGCAGGTCTCCGACGCGCGCGAAGAAACGATTGCGCCGGGGAACGACCGACGTGTCGACCTCCCACCCCGCCGCCACGGCCGGTCGCCGTTGCCATGTCTAAGAAAATAACCGATTAAAACTATGATATTATTTAGTATTATTATTCTCTTGGAGTACAGTACGTGTACTCGTACGTGTATTCGAAGTTGCGAATTCCGAGAAACGAACTATCGAAACTTACTTTATATCGAGCCATGCATATCCCTACGAATTGCAAAGAGCTGAGAGACCAGCTCATGTCTAGTGGACATTGTTTACCTGACTATTACTGTAGGCAAGCAATTGTACTACGTGTACCTTCGAAGGTACTTTCGGGAGACGGGGGCAGCATGAAATAGTGCACAGCTGCACACTATGGTGTACTCTATGCACTACTCTATACCCCCTACCCCCCCATGTACACTAGGTGTACACCGTACACTGCCCCCTCCTCCCCCCCCCACCCCGCCATCCCCCAATGCTCCATGCTCCATGCACCATGTCCTCCCCCTCCCCTCCCCTGTGCTCCATACACCATGCACCATGTCCTGCCCTCCCCCCTCCCCCCCCTCCCCTTCCTCTCTGCTACATGCTCCATGCACCATGTCCTCCCCCTCTCCCCCCTCCCGCCTCCCCAGCTCTGCTCCATGCTCTATGCACCATGTCCTCCCCCTCTCCCCCCTCGCCCCCCCCAGCTCTATGCTCTATGCTCTATGCACCAAACTCTCCCCCAACCCTCCGCCCCCCACCCCCCAAATTTTTCAGTGCACCATGCACCATGCACTAATTTCTGATCAGGTTTCAAATGTTCTATGTTTGAAAGTACAATTAGCCTCTTAGGTTCGAATTTTCATCGTATAAACAAGTGATTTGATAGCAATATTGAACTCATCGCTCGCCTTCGGCGGCTCTTCGCCCCATGAGCTCATGTTGCATCATCACATCTGATCGAAAGCCACGCGGGCTTCGCCCGCGTGATATTCGCGCGGTCGCCGTGCCCTTAAACCCTAAACGTTAAAACCAACCCTACTACTACGACCTCGGGTGGAACTACGTTTTTCAATATCCTAAAACTCGCGGCCACCGTTTCGCCACCCTCGCGACTATGGTGCTCGATCCCTAGCTAGGTTTACGGTTGCGCGTTCGCGTCGGAGCGAGCTCGGCGTCGCTCTAAACCCTAAACCTAACTAGGGTTCGAGGACCCTAGCCGCGAGGGGGCGAAACGGGGCCGCTCGGGGGGTGGGGCGTCTTGTCCGAGCTCTCGGCGCGTCCGTAATGGCGGCGACTAGCGACAGTGTGCTATAAGATAGCTAACGTATTTTTTAGTGGTGTCCGAAGGAGTTAGACACTACATTTTTCCTCGCTCCGCTCGGTTAGTCTCACTCGCTGCGCTCGATCGGAGCTTCGCTGCGGTGATACGTCCAACTCATGGCCGATGCAGCAGACGGGACCGGTAGCGCACAAGGATCGTCGATTTCTTCGTACGTATCGCGACGCCGAGCTCGCTCCGACGCGAACGCGTAACCCTAAACCTAACTAGGGTTCGAGGACCCTAGCCGCGAGGGGGCGAAACGGGGCCGCTCGGGGGGTGGGGCACATGTCCGATCGCTTGAGCATAACACACTCAGTATATCTCTCAAGGATGTTAGCACCTGCTCGTACAAACATTTATAAAAATACGAAAAATTGAAATGGGAAGTACACAGTGGGGAGAAGAGATGGGATTGCTCGGTTAACTCACATATATTAACGTGTCCAAGAAATTGTCGGTGGTTAGATAAGTTAGAACAGTAAGGCTTCATAACTTCAGAAGGATTCGGAGTATCGAATAGGTCACTGACTCTTCGTTTCTTGTGCGGTTCTTCCATGACGATGCGTTGTCTCGTAAATGGCTAGCGTGGAGGAAGACGGGCACTAGCAGCAGACAACGCGAAAGGAGTGAAGAGAGAGGAGCGCGCTTGAAAAGAAAGGTGGAGGCGGGAGGGGGGGGGGGCAAGAAACTCCGCACGAGCCATGAACGCTGCGCGTGAAGAAGTGAACGTCAACGACACACGTGTTAAAAGCAAGTACGAAAGTACTAGTTAGTGCAAAACATAGAGTGCTCTAGAGAGTACTCTGCACCGTGCACTGAACTCTGTGGAGAGAAAACGCGACAAAAACAAGTTTGATTTCGAAGTAAGCTACGGCAACGCGCGAATATCGATGATGTTGAAGGCCCCTGGTTAAGTTCGCTCCATTCTGAGCAATGTATCATCACTTCATCGCGCGTTGATTTTCGTCGGCGGATGATCGACTGCAAGTACGGCGGTTGCATTTGAGGATTGATTCGCACGGGATGCTTCAGAGCGAATTTTGGCGGAGCAGACGCCTGTGAGACGACCGGCCACATAGTGCATTGCTATTTGCGACGACCGACCGCATGGAGCATGGCTTTTAGAGATGACCGACCGAAATTTGGAGTGCTCTACGGAGTATAGTGTAGCCAGACCCTATTACTCAAAGAAATATTCCAAGTGAGCAGGTATGGAGTATTTAGTCACAAGTATTTTTGAGTAGATAGATACTGGTGAGTATATATCCGGATATTTCGAAGTTTGAGTAGATAAATACTCTTGAGTATTTTGCACTTGGCATTTTTGAGTAGATAAATACTCTTGAGTATTTTGAACTTCGCATGTTTGAGTAGATAAATACTCTTGAGTATTTTGCACTTGGCATGTTTGAGTAGATAAATACACGTACTCTTGAGTACTTCCGGAAGTACAGTACGTGACTACGTGTACACTTACTTGCGTATTTTGCACTTAGATTGCGCTTCAGGGAAAAACACTCGATGAGCTTCGCGTGAAACACGCCCTCACGCTACACGTACACTGCAAATCAAGTTCCCTTCTCCCCTATTCTCCACCTTGACGGCAACGTCTACTTGCATGTGTAACGCGTGCAAGTAAAAACGTCGTGTATGACGAGAAACATACAACACGAAAACGATTTCGTTTTGAGTCGCGATGGTTGCGCGAAAAGGAAGGGTAGCTCTTTCAAAGCAGCTCTACCGGACCAAGATTAATGCCTTGAGAAGGTGGCTCAAGCAAAAAAAGAAAATCGAACGCGGCGGGGACGAAAAACGCATCCTTCGCGTCTTGGAGTTATGTGCAGGAAGTAGTTCGTTCTCTAAGGCTGTTGAACGAATTTGCAAAAAGTTAGGCATCGAGTGCAAGGTGTATCGGCTTGACATAGATTCGAGGTGCACTGTTGAAATAGTCGCGGACATCGAAAAGTGGACGTGCCAATCCAAGAAGGGTTTTTTCGATATCATCTGGTGCAGTCCACCGTGTACGAATTACTCGAACGCGAAGACCGTAGGGAAGAGGAACCTTGCGTCCGCAGATCGAGTCGCAAAAAGTTGCGTTAAGCATATTGACAATCTCGCACCTCCTGTGTTCTTTATAGAGAACCCGAGAGCACGGTTACGCAAACGCCCCTTCATGCGTCGATTCCTTAAGCTCACCCATATGTGCACGCAATGTAAGTATGGTCGACGATTCAAGAAGGAGACGGATATATGTACGGAAATCTGCGCAAAAGACTTGCGGCTTCTTCGTTGCACCGCTAGTTCCCCTTGCGTTCACGTCCAACGCTTTGAGAAGAAGTATGGCAAGAAACGGCATCCGCAAACTGCGCAAACCGGTGGCACGTACGATAAGGATCTCAAAATAACTATCCCGGGTACGCCTAGTAAAATGTCCGCCAAGATTGCACCGAAGCTTGCGGAACATCTAGTGCATCGTTCGTTCGCGTATATGAAGGAACGAGGGCACGATCGCTTTCCGCAGACTCGGAGATGCGTTTGAATAGTTTCCTTATTCTTTTCTTATCATATCAATAATTCAAACACAAAAATGACAAACAAACATACAGTATATCAAACATAGTTTAACTCGTTTCCGTGATCAACGCGTTCGTGACACCGAAAGCTCATCACAAAGTTCACGTTGACGATAGATCAAACGCACGACATAGCGGCTTTTAGCGGCTTTTAGCGAACAAACGCACAACGCATTCACTTTTCAAGGTATACATTTCAGTACTTCTGCCTTCGTCACGAAGTTCGCATTTCGTTTGACGACCATAAGCTTGTTCACTCTTGCTTTGTCGAGCATCTTTCGCTTGTGCGTTACTACTTGCCCCGCGGCGCTAAAAGCACGTTCTGAAGAAGCGCTTGACGCGGGCAAGCTGAATATGTTTCGTGCGACTTCTCGCAAAAGTGGAAACGCTATTCCCTCGACTTGCCACCAGCTTAGGAGTCCTTCAGAGGTTCTCGTCTCATCCTTGACTTGACGATTGAACGCGTGCGCCTTGAATCTTTCCATTTCCGTATGAGCGGCGGCCAACCTCTGCTCGATGTCCGCTCGCTCCGTGTGAACTACATCGCAAGCATCTTCCTCGTCTGAGTCCGTATCGCCATACGTTGACGTCGGGTCGAGTTTTTGTTTCTTGAAGGCCGGCTCGTCAGTCGATGACGCATCTTTTTTCACCGAGGAGACGCGTGACTCACGTTGAGATTTCTCTTGGTCTTTGGCGTGTTGACTCTCGACGACTTTCTTGAGGAGAGTTTTTAAGGTCTTTTCCGCTCGCTCGACGTACTCTTCGGACGCGTGCTTCGCGAACTTCTTTCGGTCTTCGCTGGATGCCTCATCAGTAACTTTTCTTGGCCGGAATTTACTATTACCGCGCGGCGTCAGCCACGTAGCGACCAACTGGTTGTCTGTGCACATCTGAACCTTGCCCTTCAAGTTCAGAGTTGGTACAAGGTCGGAGTTTTCTTCGCAACGCGTACGTAAATCTTGGAGCATCCCAAATTTCATTGCGCGGACGTCGGGATGTAATTGGCTGTCATCTGTGATTCGATCAAGCTCTTGATCTTCGTCGTTTTTCCACATATCAAACTTATTTTCCCCGGCCTCATCAACGTAAATTTATGTATGGGATGCGGCAACGGCAGTGCGTTCGTTTGGGAACAAGGCTCGAGACGCGACTTCAACGCCATTACGCTTTCGTACACGCGATGTATCGTAACTTCCTTGTCGTACACGTACTGGAGTTCAAGGAACTTTTCCTGATATACTAGTGGGTTTTAGTTGCGCCAAAATCGGGTCTAAAATCGGGTCTAAAATCGGGTCACCCCACCCGATTTTGCCTGCCCACCCGATTTTAGACCCGATTTTGCAACTAAACCGTCCGAGGACATATTATACTATATTACGCCAAAATCTTTAAGTCAGTTGGTGGTCGAAGGCATTCTCGTGTTTTGGTTTAGGGTTTAGGGTTTAGTTGTTATCTTCTTCGTACAACGTTGTACACGTACCTTCGTACAACGTTATTGTATGTACACAGAAAATTATCTAGCCCTAATATAAAAATATCAGGTCCGGACCGACGCACAAAAGTCCGGACCGTAATCACACAGTCTTAGTTTTGACGTGGCTTTCGCAATTGAATCTGTCAGTATGGCCGGCCAACATTCTCATGCACAGTGGCCATTCTTTTAAATGGGGGCAGTCAAATATTCTGCTGCAAGCAGGTTTTTTCTCCTACTTCGAGCGGGCATGAAGCCTTTTCGGAAGAAGTATTTCAACAATTCGGTGATTTTGAGCATACAGGTCTACGTCAGTTTGTGTGTATTTACTTGTATTCTGTGCTTCCGCGTCTTGCCCGAACGATATTTTGAATGGAGTTCGCGGCGACTCTGCCTTTCCGCCGCTGGGTCGAGTTCAAAATCCGGCGTAAAACTAGCCGCGGGCCACACGCGCGGTTATCAACAAGTATATGATTTGTTTCTCTTCAACGATGAGTTGGATATGCTCGAAATCCGCATAAACGAACTGAAAGATGCGGTCGACTACTTCGTGGTTGTGGAAGCACGGGTTTCGTTCACGAATATGCCGAAGCCGTTGCACTTTTCCGAAAATAAAGACAGGTTCAACGCTGTCTCTTCAAAGATAGTGCACATAATTTTGGATGTTTTGAGCGGGAACAGCACGTGGGAAAGGGAGGCATCACACAGGAACGCTTTACTTGACCTCGGTTTACATCAGCCTGGGAAAGAGGTTCGACGTGGTGATATAGTTATCATGAGCGACGTCGACGAGATCCCACGCTCTGCAGTAATCGTGGCGATGAAGAAATGTCCCGAAATTCATGGTCGCGTGGTTGTCTTAGAACTTGGTCTTTTCTACTATTCATACCTTACCCGTGCGCGAGAACCGTGGAGTGTGCCGATGGCGTTGCAACATCCGGGTCCAAATGTGTCTTTAAACTCTACTCTTTTGCGGAAAACAAATACGAGCGCGACTGAAGTAGTTAGGTTTCGGAACGCCGGTTGGCACTGTTCGTACTGCTTTTCGACACTTGCGTCGTTTCGTAACAAAATGCAAAGTTTTTCTCACGAGGAATACAACTTGCCCGAGTATTTTGAAAAAGATCATGTGGTGCGCTCAGTGCAAGCCGGCGTTAGCTTATTCGATCATCTTGAGCCGGATTATTTCAAACAGCTACAGAGACCAGATGCTCCGAGGTTTGTCCGAGAGCACGCGCGCAGGTTTCAGTACCTATTAAACCGACGTTCGAAGAACGCGGGGCTCTCTGACATACCAACTGTGAATTAAACTGGGAACTATCTGGTATCGCAGATGAAGATATTATTGGGTTGTTGTACGCGCACGAGTTCCGCCTTGTCGGAAACCAAACCTTACCCTGTGCGAATGAACAGGAAATGCACAACAAGAGTCGTGTCTAGACTCTCACTAGCTAATAACTTGTTAAGTCTAGTCTAAATATATCATTGCCTTCGAACTAAAATACAATCAGGGCTGGACTCGCGGACAGTGAGTCACAGTACGACCTTCGTGCACATAGTTCAGTCTCAAAGCGCAGCTACTTGCTCTTTCGCTTAGAAGAATTGAGTTTGAGGCGCTCTAAAGTTGCACTCTTGAGAACGCCCGTGAACAGTCAAAACACATCCGAATATGCGACGCAAACGTGTGTCTCGTGTCCCTTTATTCACTACTCTTCGTTATTTTGGATTTCAAACTTCTCGGCACGTAGTTGAGCGTCAGGGGAGCTCGTAAAAAAAGGCTAACCTAGCTGAAGAGCACGAAGTTTTCTCAACGACAGTATTTACAAAAGATGAATCTTCGCGTCCATCGAAGTCTTCGGAAAATGGCGTTGAAGAAACAAAATCCGTTCGAACAGAGAGGTACCCATGATGAATATCCGGTAGGACCGGTAGGAGCCATTCTCTCGTATCGGAACCTATTAGACGATTAAAGGCATTGCTTCTGATGGGCTGCTTATTGGCAGTACAGAGTTCTTTCGGGGAAACTACAGAAAATGAGGCTACGTCTTCAGCTGCGACCACTTTCTCGCTCGTGAATGTGTGCAATACTAAAACAGAATCTGAATACCGTTCGAATGCCATTTGTATCAATTCAATCCTCCGAGGGTGTATAACATCTCCGTCGGCATCAAAAAACGTAACATACCTGGACCTCGCAGTTACTGCTGCCCGGTTTCGTTTCGCACCAACTGAGCCTTTTGAAGTCGTTGTTATGATGCGAAGGGGTATTCCTTCCAGTATTTCTCTGAATTCGTGGCAAAAGTTTGATCCCTCACTCGCGGTTGACTCCGACAGTCCAACTATCACCTCGCGCGGAGGCAGTGTCTGAACACGAATGCTATTTAGTGTATGCCGGAACGTCTCTCCACCACCTTCCAATAAATCGTTTGGAAGTGCGGGAATGCAGATAGTGACGTGGCGATTCGTGATACCATCTCTAAGCTGCGGCGATCGCCACACATCAGACAGGCCGGTCGGCGGTCGGCACAAGAAGATGGGAAGTCGAGTTGAAAGGTAAAGGAACAATAAAAAGCAAACTGGTACTTGAAATTTACCGAGCCGGTTACGTGCAGAGAGAGAACGTGCAAATAACGAAGGCAACACAAATGTACGATATTGCAATCGAATACGGAAAGAGAAGCCCCGTCAACTCCTGCGACGCCGGGAGAAGTTGAAGCGGGCAATGGCCTAAGACTATGGGACAACGCACAGAACCTTGGAAGGTACTTCCGGAAGTTTTTCCGGAAGTACGTCCTGAGGTAGCTACTAGCTAGCCTGCTAGCCTGCATAGCTCTAACTTTGTAGCTAACTACGAAAGTCGTGCGTACGAAAGTACGAAAGTACTTTCGAGAGTACTTTCGAAAGTACGAAAGTACGAAAGTACTATCGTACGAAGGTACTTTCGAAAGTACGAGTACTTTCGTACTTTCGTACTTTCGTACGAAAGTACTTTCGTACGAAAAAAATACTATCCAGCTCTTTTTTCCATTCGATCCAGCTCTTCTCGCTTTTCGATGCAAATACCCATACGCTATAGCCATCGTACTACGTCCGCGTACTCCCTGGGTTCAAACTTCAGTCGTTTGAAAGGGGTGCCCGCGGGCGTTCGCGCGCTGCTGGAGTCGCGGGAGCGTCACGAACGCCGACGTCGCACGCAAAGAATTTACTCGAAACACCACGATGCGTCGACCCATGCAAAAATACCAAACCGCTCGCTGTGATGATCATGACGTAATCAGCGCTCGAACAGGGATGGGCACAAGTTGCAACATCGCTTTTTCGGGGCAAGGTGGGAAAAAAGTTCTCCTCCTACAAGTAAGATTTTGCAGAGTCACCCTTGACATATAAGCGCCGCTGACGTCGTTTTCTTTACGGGAAGTGGCACAAACTTCAGTCGTTTGAAAGGGGTGCCCGCGGGCGTTCGCGCGCTGCTGGAGTCGCGGGAGCGTCACGAACGCCGACGTCGCACGCAAAGAATTTACTCGAAACACCACGATGCGTCGACCCATGCAAAAATACCAAACCGCTCGCTGTGATGATCATGACGTAATCAGCGCTCGAACAGGGATGGGCACAAGTTGCAACATCGCTTTTTCGGGGCAAGGTGGGAAAAAAGTTCTCCTCCTACAAGTAAGATTTTGCAGAGTCACCCTTGACATATAAGCGCCGCTGACGTCGTTTTCTTTACGGGAAGTGGCACAATATTTTTTATTAAATCGATATGAGTACGTGTAATAAGAAAATGTTATTTATTTATTTACTCGCCGAAGGCGAAGAATTTTTTTGAGTACGTGTACACGTACAACGTTGTACTTTGAAAGTACTTATTTATTTACCTTTTTTTTTGGCGGTAACTTATTCATCATTTACTTATTTATTTACACTTTTTGGATACAGTACGTGTACACGAATTTATTACTCATAAAATACTCACTAAATTTCCGGTGGTCTAGCTAGCTACACGTACGGTAGCTAGCTAGCTAGCTAGCTATCTACGAAAGTACTTTCGTACTAGCTAGTACGAAAGTACTTTCGTACTTTCGTACATGTGTACGGAAGTACTTTCCGTACAACAGTCAGCAAAAAACCACGAAAAGTCTTCGGAATCTGACGTGTACGCGCTCGGGATGACAGTTTGGCAGATTTACGAACGCTTACAACCGTTCAGTATCATGCCCGAGGCTGCGATAGTGAGCCAGGTGCTCGGTGGGGAGCGCCCGAAATATAACCACACGCCGCCTTCGGTGAAGAAGATCATCTCCTCGTGCTGGGCGAAAGATCCGAAAGATAGGCCGCCTTCGGATCAGATCGCATGCGCTCTGAGTCATGTGTACGAGTTGCTGTCACGCTCGCAGGAGGCTACATCGACCGAGCCAGGGCCGCTCGATGCTGACTCGATACGGGTTCAGGAGGTTGTGGACGAGAAAGCGAGCGAAGTCTTAACTCTTCCTATGCCTACGTAAAACATAAATTCGCTCAAGACGATCTAAAAATGGATCCTCTTGACTTTTGGAAAGAAAAAGGGAAACAATGGCCCTTGTTACGTGAGGTAGCTAAGACAATACTGGCGATACCGGCGTCGAGCGCAGGATCGGAACGATCGTTTTCGACAATGGGTCGATTACTCTCAAATAACCGCACGACGATGCTTCACGACAAGGTCAACAAGTTAATTGTCTTAAATAAGCACCCCGATTTGTTTAACCAAGACACGTTAGGTGAAAACGTCAGTGAGGAGGAGTGCCTTCAGGTGGACGAAGAAGACTCCGAAGATGAGTTCGAGCATGAGTTCGACGACGGGTGGTCGCTCATCGCTGACGCAGCATAGCGCAAGCGGCAACATAGCGCAAGCGCAGCGATTGCCGATGAGTTGCGCCAAGACTGTGGATAGCTTGAACGTTTGTTTTGTTTATATATATTATATTTGTTTTGTTTATTATTATATTTGTTTTGTTTATATTATATTTGTTTTGTTTAGTTTATTATATTTGTTTAGTTTATTATATTTGTGTACGTGTACGTGTATATATATATTGAAAATAACGCAAAAAGAAAAAAGGTAAACGAATCTCAAGGTGAACGACTCGCTCATCGTTGTCGTCGCTCATCGTTGGTGCGCTCGAGAATGTCCTTGACGCTCCAACCATGTCAACGCTTGATCGAGGAGGTCGTCTACTAAGTTCTCGGGAACCGTGGCCGCCTCGAGTTCAGGAGTCCCTTTTTGAAAAAACCCACAGTGGTGTAGTTTATCTCCGGATTGCGATAAGTGAGGGTGCAAGAAGTGTCCGAACTCGTCGTAGACTAACTGGACGTGCTCGCAACGGCATTCACCAGCGCAACGGCGAAGCTCAAGATGGATGTTCGAGCAAATGTTCGTCGGCTTCATGTACAACTTACCGTACATGCAGTACGTGCACGTGTACATGCCATGCAAGTACGTTTTCATGAACGGACGTTTCCACAGCATCGACGACTGAGGGTTCTCGATGAAGTAAACGAGCGGGTCCAAGGCCTCGAGATGCACCAAGCACGACATCGCCACAGCATCCGCACCCTTTATATCGCGCACACCAACGGTCTTCGAGTTCGAGTATTCTTTGCATGAGGGGCTGATCCAGATCACGTCAAACCATCCTTGCCGGTGCTCAGCTATCCAATTTATGACATCAACAATGACATCGGCTGCGAACTTCGGATTCACGTCCACGGTGACGCAACGAGATTTAGTAAATCGTCGTCGCACATGCCACCCCCCGTCACGCCTACCCGCCGACGGGCCTAGAGATGACCGAACAAGCACATCGAGCTTGACTTGGAGAGCGGCACCCACTACCCCGACCCAGGGGGGAGCGAATACACGGGCCTCTCCACTCGAGTGGCGGGATCTCGCCGTCTATCAGAGTCAGGCGCTCTTGCCGTCGTCCGTGCCGTAAACGGTGCCGTAAACGACACGGGGGGGACGGCGCCCCAGCTGTCCGAAAGCCTTTTCGCCTCGCCTCCCCTCTCGGTGTCCGTCGCGCGGATCAGGAACCCCGTCCCGCCGCCCAGATTAAGACCGCGCCTCGGCGTCGGTCGACCTTGGTCGACGCCAGGCCGGCCGTCAGCTGCGCGTCCTTTCCCGCCCAAATTCAAATGGACCGAGGTTGGAAGTGTTCCGCATGAACATACGTGAACTCGAGACGGTAATTGAGCAATGCCAGAGCCGATTGGCCCAGCTCAGGGTGGAGAATACGCAAGGCGACGAAGACAGCGACGACGGAGAGGATATCGACAAGGCGGATGCTGATGCTCAAACGCCGCCGATTGAAGCCGCTGAAAGAGGCCACGAGGCCGTGGTCAAGGTATTGCTCTAAGTGCTTGAAACGCCGCTGATTAAAGTAGCTGGAAAAGGCCACGAGTGTGTGGTCAAAGCATTGCTTGAAGCTGGCGCAGACGTGAACGAGGCGGGTGGTGAAGGCGCGACGCCGCTCCACTAGGCCGCTCATGAAGGCCACGAGGCGATGGTCAAGACGTTGATCGAGGCCGATGCGGACGTCAACAAGGCAGCCAACAATAACGGTCAGCCCCCTCTGTACAACGCTGCCTGGCAGGGCCATCTGACAGTGGTGAAGGTGCTGATCGAGGCCGGCGCAGACGTGAACGAGGCAAACGACAACGGCAAGACACCGCTGTACACGGCCGCTGAGAATGGCCACGAGACCGTGGTCAAGGCGCTGATGGAGGCTGGTGCGGTCGTCAACGAGGCAGATGAGTGTTGGTGGGGCAACTTGCCGCTGTGCGGGGCCGCTGTGTATGGACACGAGGCTGTGGTCAAGGCGCTGATCGAGGCCGGCGCGGACGTCAACAAGGCAAACGACAACGGCAGGACGCCGCTGTACACAACCGCTTTAAATGGCCACGAGGCTGTGGTCAAGGTGCTGATCGAGGCCGGCGCGGACGTGAACAAGGCGAGGGAAGACGGTGAGACGCCGCTGTACATAGCCGCCCGAGAATGACCACGAGGCGGTGGGCCACCTCCTGATCGCAGCTGGAGCGACAATCGACGATCTGTTCACTGCTACCCGTCTTGGTATTGTTGATGTGTCAATTCGTCTGGTTGCTGAGGGCGCTGACGTCAACAAGGTGGACCATAACGGCAGGACACCGTTGTACACGGCCGCTCAGAACGGCCACGAGGCGGTGGCCAAGGCGCTGATCGAGGCCGGTGCGGACGTGAACGAAGCGAAAATGGCGGCTGGACGCCGCTGCACGAGGCCTCTCGAGAGGGCCACGAGGCTGTTGTCAAGGCCCTGATCAAGGCGCTGGTCGAGGCGGGTGAGGACATCAACAAGACCGATTTTGACGGCGAGACATCGCTGTCTTGGGCCGCTGATCAAGGCCACGAGGTGATGGTATGAGCGCTGATCGAAGCCGGCGCAGACGAGAACGAGACTAACAATGAGGGCAGGATGCCGCTGCACAAGGCCGCTTCGAACGGCCACGAGGCGGTGGTCAGGGCGCTGATCGAGGCCGGCGCGGACGTCAACAAGGCAAACGACAACGGCAGGACGCCGCTGTACACAACCGCTTTAAATGGCCACGAGGCTGTGGTCAAGGTGCTGATCGAGGCCGGCGCGGACGTGAACAAGGCGAGGGAAGACGGTGAGACGCCGCTGTACATAGCCGCCCGAGAATGACCACGAGGCGGTGGGCCACCTCCTGATCTGATCGCAGCTGGAGCGACAATCGACGATCTGTTCACTGCTACCCGTCTTGGTATGACAAAGTGTGTCATACTGTAGATAGTTAGATAGATTAGATAGATAGTTTGAAAATACCTGTAGTTGCAAGCTGTGACAGGATCTCGCGCTGCGCGAACGAGCGCTTCGTGCGTTGGTCCGCGCGAAACATGTCCGCCGGCGAAGGCAATTGGAATATTGTCATCGACAACTTCGCTGAGGTTTATGATGATGATGATGCACACCCCGAATCTTCGTTATATGTGAACGAGGTCCCTGGGTTCGGTGCGACTGCTACTATAAATGCCCCGACCGGACGGATTATGAAGCCGCGGGTTGAGTCGGCGAGGAATGCCCTCGCAGCCCTAAAAGTCTCTACCGACGTAGTCGGCATCCCCAACTTTGAGTGGAGCGGCCTCACAACGATTGTCTACAACCAGATAACAAGCAAGAAGGATGATCCTCACTACTTCATCAAACTTGTTGCTCAGCATGACACTCACAAGCAGTTTCCAAAGTTCAAGCAATATCTCGAGCATGACGCTGTAAAGCAACAGGCGAACAAATTTAAGCGCGGAGATGCCTTTGCTGATACCATGCTTCCTACTGAAATGAACGGTTTATTCGATTTCGCCAAGACCAATGCGCAGTTAAAAGCTGATCAATCATCTCACGCTAAAAACCTCCAAGGTACTCCTCAAGCCGCTCTTTTCAATGATATGCTTCGTGATCTAGGAAGCAGTGCGCAAGTTCCGACTGTTCCAGGCCAAACGCGTACTGAAGTTGCTGCGAACTTATCAGCTTTTGCGGCAAGAGGACGGGACGTGTATGTTGATGCTTTAGGTGGAGGTGTCGGTGGTGGCGCAGGTGACCTCCCCCACTACGCCTCTGATGCATCATTGGACCAAAGTATGTTGAATGACATTCGCAATTGTGCTTCAGTCGAAAATTTGAAAAAATTCAAAGCATACCTCGATAGCCACCTGAAAGACGGTAAGATGGAAGATCTGCTGTATAATACTTACTGCCACCATCTGCATGAACGACTCACCCATCTGGCTGCGTCTCGCGGAGGGACTTCATTCAATCCTGGTATCTCAGATGTAGCCTCGGAGCGAATATTGAAAAACCATCTGCAAAGAGCACGCGCTCCTCCGCCCGATGGTCGTGGATTTTCTAGTCTTGCTAACTTGGGATACGGAACTTCTCCGTTGAACACTGATCAGATTGCTTTACAGAGTTATGGACATGACTTTGTTGCTGTGAGTGCTAATTTGTTTGACCAAGATGGCCACAACCCTTCTCCAGATTTTCAAACGCCTGATTTACAACTTGGGAAACGGACCAGATCGTCCTTTATTGATACGCCTATGCCTCAGCTTACCCAAGATGCGTTACTTGCGAAGATTGGACTCGTACAGACTTTGCTTAGACCTGTTGGCGTCGACGTTGATATTCAAGTCATTGCTGCGGTGCTTAAAGACGTTGCAGGGTATGATCCTCACGTCGCGGCCGTGATTATATCAGATATAATCCCCGCGATGAACGACCCTTCTTGGAAACACAAAGTTTTACAAGTTGTGAAAAATATTTTTGAATTGAAATCTGATCTGACCCTGCTTGAACTTCGAGACTTTTGCAAGAGTCCTTCGCTTCTTGATCGAGAACCTGTCACTCGAAAGGATTCCAATACAGTGACCGTACGGGAAGCAAAAACTTTCTGCATGACTAACCAAATCTCTTCCGTTGAAGTAGGTTCGGAAGCTTTACTACGTTGTGGACATGACGGTGACGACCTTGAAGCCGCCACACTTGCTAAGGCTATGGACGGGATGCCAGAGCAGGATTATGACTCTTGTCAGCGTGCGTACGCGGCGTGTGTTGACATATTCGACGACGTGGACTTCATCAAATCTTGCCCCGAGCTTTTGTCAAGCTTCGGTGTTTTGAGCAGCATCATAGCTAATAAGAACGAAGTGGTTGAAGTTTCTGATTAGTGCGAGAATAAAACGGCGACGAAGATGGCGTGGAAGGCCTCCTGTACGATAATTGAATGGACGACGACGAACTAAACAATTCGGACGATAGCATGAACGACGACGAACTAGACAAATCGACGACGATAGAGTAGAATTACGTAACGACACGACGACAGAACTACACTAAAATAAACAAACACTATATGTATCGCGCTCCTCTAGTTCCATCCGGTAGCTCGAAGGCACCCCGCACACTCGGCAGGTGTGTGAGCTTCCAGCACGTCGATGACGCGGCGCACGAAATTTGCACGGACGTGTTCCACCTGACGATTGCATTTCATATGCGTTGAAAGAAATATCTTTTCGATCGGCTGAAACCACGGAGAGTACGGCGGAAGAAAATAAACTCTGAGACCGGCGGCGGCGAACATGACGCGCAAAACGTTCTTACGGTGCACCCTCGCGTTGTCTAGAACGATGTATGTCTTTCCTTGCGCGATCATGGCAGGTATGACATAAAACTCGCACCACTGCTCGAAAACATGTCCAGTAACAGTCAGAGGTTGTGGTACAGGTAACGTACAACCTTGCATCACCCCTTCCTTCGTCATGGCCGCCAAGAACATGACTCTGGGGCCAGAACTTCTGCCATCGTCGATCTGACAAGCCCGTTCACCCTTCGTCATCCAACCATAATTTGATCCAACCTCTTCTGACGAGTAAATCATCTCATCTGCCCAAACTCCTTCATCAGCATTTAACATCACTCTGCGAAGCAAGAACATTCGTGTTAAAAGCTTGACTCTCTCTGTGAAGGCGCGCTTATCCATTCGAGTAATTCGCTTGTAACTGATGCCATGTCTCTTAAATGCAGCTCTCACCCCACCTCCTGAAATTTCGATACCGTAATGCCACTGAAGTAGGCTAGCAATTTGATCGGACGTTTTTCGACAACCACTTTCGATGAACTTCGCGCGCACGAACGCCATGTGCTCTCGCGTGATTTTGCAGCCGGTGCTGTGGACACCGTGCGGAAGAGGTTCCGCTCGTCCCGTCTCGCCGACACGTTTCATCAGGTACGCAGCGGCTCGTTCACTCAGGCCGAGTACATGAACGTGGGAGATTTGGAGAGCGGAGTGACCCTGGTTCATCAAGTCACGGACGGTCGCGCGAATCCAAGTTGGGTGCGGTATACCGCGCCAGCGCCATCTCCCGCCTTGCCGATAGTCCGGAAATCGATCCGGGATGTGCGCGACGCCATGTTTTTTTGAAAGGCGCGGCATTTCGCGTCCGCGCCCGCGCCGCGCAAGCGACGTTCGCCGCGAATCTAATAGTTAGACTAGTTAGACTAGCTAGCTAGTTAGTTAGGTAGTTTACTTGGTCGTATCTGACTAATTATCTATCTACAGTATGACTTACTTTGTCATATTGTTGATGTGTCAATTCGTCTGGTTGCTGAGGGCGCTGACGTCAACAAGGTGGACCATAACGGCAGGACACCGTTGTACACGGCCGCTCAGAACGGCCACGAGGCGGTGGCCAAGGCGCTGATCGAGGCCGGTGCGGACGTGAACGAAGCGAAAATGGCGGCTGGACGCCGCTGCACGAGGCCTCTCGAGAGGGCCACGAGGCTGTTGTCAAGGCCCTGATCAAGGCGCTGGTCGAGGCGGGTGAGGACATCAACAAGACCGATTTTGACGGCGAGACATCGCTGTCTTGGGCCGCTGATCAAGGCCACGAGGTGATGGTATGAGCGCTGATCGAAGCCGGCGCAGACGAGAACGAGACTAACAATGAGGGCAGGATGCCGCTGCACAAGGCCGCTTCGAACGGCCACGAGGCGGTGGTCAGGGCGCTGATCGAGGCCGGCGCGGACGTCAACAAGGCAAACGACAACGGCACGACGCCGCTGTTCATCGCCGCTCAAAAAGGCCACGAGGCGGTTGTGAAGGCGCTGATGGAGGCGGGCGCAGTCGTCAACAAGGCGGATAATCACGGTGGGACACCGCTGCACGGCACCGCTCGGAACGGCCACGAGGCGGTGGTCAAAGCGCTGGTGGACGCGGGCGCGGACGTGAACAAGGTTTTCCCTGGTGCCATATCTTCCATGGACGGCGTCCACATGTGCTGGGAAATGTGGCCATCTTCTGAAAGGTACACACAGGCAAAAAAAGTACCCAACAATATAGCGTTTAACGTTCATTCATGCACACTATGGAGATCTTCTATGCCTCGGCCATGACTGGCGCGTGTAGTGACAAGACTTTGGTGATGCACGACAAATTTGTCGAAGCCATGATAAAACAATGAAGAGTTGAAGAAATCTGAGTGCAACTTGAAAGATGATTGTTGTAGATGAGCAGCTGGTAAGAAATATTAAACCAACAGGTTCAGGAAATTCTCGACTTCGTTTGTTCGACCCATGCTGTGCCTGACCTTACGTAACGCTGCCACCGTGCACGCTGGCCCACGGCAGCCTCTTCCCTGTAAAAGAAGACAGTCAGCACGTCCTCCTCCGTCAAGTTCGGTGAACCATCTTCAAGAACTATATATTTATGACCAGCATAACTTGTCCGTTTTATTCTTTGCAATCAACAGTTTTAAAATCATCGGGAGCGGCGTGACGAACATACTGTTCACCTCCAAATCTATGCCATCAAGATAGTATTCTGCAAAATGGTTCCAACCATGCTTTGGAACAACGTTGACGGGTACGACAGTCGACGAAAAAAGTGGCGCAACACTGACAAATGAACTCCCACTGCCAATGAGGATATCTGCGTGCATGAAGTAAAGGAACGTTTCCTCGACACTTATATCCAGGAAAATTGGTTTCTCAATGATACCTCGGAACATCTTTTTATATTCGTCACGATGACTTTCACTTAGCATCCACCAAGTTCCGATTATAAAGTGTTTGACGCCAACTGCTGCGTTAAAAGTGGGCGCCATCAAAGACGCTATATTCTCGTAGTATTCGTCCCCTGGCCTATGTAGCTCTACACTTTGATTTGTCAAATCCCCTAGACGCACATGCCAAACAACGTTCAGAGAGTTAGTTGCTAATCCTATTGGTTTATTTTTCAACCAGGTACCAGACTTGGCCACGTCCTGAAGACAAGGGGCAAACTTACTGAAAGCCAGCCTATGAACTGGCGACAGAAAGCAATTAATGGCCTCGCCATTGAGACCGCCAGGGCATTCCCCATAACTTTCGTTCCATCTACTCTCGAAAATAACTCCGCACTCGCTCGGAATATGTTCAGGTTTTGAAATTAGAGTGCTGCGGAGATTCGAGGTATCGTAATCGTCGTTGACCCAGAGCCGATTTAGACCAAGCATGTTGTTTAAGAACCGATAACTATCCCCAGAGTCTTTCGACTTGATATCGTCAAACGGCTTCATTTTCAAGGAAGCGTTATACAGTGACGCGAGTTGCAATCCAAAAACCAATTCCGAAAGTTGGTGCCCTACGCCACCCTCCTTGGCACGCTGAAAGTGAAGTAATCGTGTGCATTTCTGATCGCGAGCGAGTTTTACTCCTCCACATCGGCTCAGAGGATCGACGACGTGATCATCTTTGATGGCCGATCTTTGTCTGGTAAGAACGTATGCTGACACCAGAAGGGCTGCAACAAAGAATAATGGTTTTGTGGTTTTGTGGGGAAGCGTATTTCTTCTTCCTCTACTTTGCTGACGCATTTCTACGTATTGGACCGCAGCTTCAGTAGCACATATTTGCAGTTACTACCTTAGAAGATAGTGAGTACGACGAAACTGTCTTTTCTAAGGTTCAAGTGTAAGCATACCTTGAACGTGTCCTTTCCTCCAAAGAGATGAACCAGAAGCTACGTTTGTACGAAAGTACGAAAGTACGAAAGTACGAAAGTACGAAAGTACGAAAGTACGAAAGTACAACTACTTTCGTAGATTCGTACGAAATCGTTTTCTTCTTGTATGTTTCTCGTCATACACGACGTTTTTACTTGCACGCATTACACGTGCAAGTAGACGTTGCCGTCAAGGTGGGGAATAGGGGAGAAGGGAACTTGATTTGCAGTGTACGTGTAGCGTGAGGGCGTGTTTCGCGCGATGCTCATCGAGTGTTTTTCCCTGTAGCGCAATCTAAGTGCAAAATACGCAAGTAAGTGTACACGTAGTCACGTACTGTACTTCCGGAAGTACACGTACTCAAGAGTATTTATCTACTCAAACATGCCAAGTGCAAAATACTCAAGAGTATTTATCTACTCAAACATGCGAAGTGCAAAATACTCAAGAGTATTTATCTAGGGCCTACTCAAACTTCGAAATATCCGAATACTCACCAGTATCTATCTACTCAAAAATACTTGTGACTAAATACTCGATACCTACTCACTTGGAATATTTCTTTGAGTAACAGGGTCTGCTACGTACCTTCGAAGGTACGAAAGTACTTTCGTACCTTCGTTCGTACGAAAGTACGAAAGTACGAAAGTACCTTCGAAGGTAGCTAGTTAGCTACCTTCGTACCTAGCTAGCTCTACATAGTACGAAAGTACTTTCGTACGAAAGTACTTTCGTACTTTCGAAAGTACGAAAGTACGAAAGTACTTTTGTTATGATCTCGTATCATATGTACTCCAGGTACTACCTTATCAGCTTATGACGTACTGGGACTACTTAGCCCTACATCCTAATCAAATCGATAACGCCTATGGAGCGTTTTTCTCTTTTTAGCACCTGTTTCACTTCACTCTCACTCAGACTGTAGAGTGTTTGTGAGTTTAATATTGATTGAACAACAGCACGGCGCGAAGGGTGATACACTCCCCTTCCGCCACAGCTCGTGTCCTGCATCGGTGATACACTCCCGATCAGGCACAGCTGCTTCTACTGTTCTCACTCAGACTGTTCCGAAACTAGAGATAATTTATTATTCCGCCGTTGCCGTTTTCGCGCTGAAAAACTGCGATATTAATAAATTTGAAACCAAATCGCCACGTCGCCGTCGCCGTTGACGCGCGCAGTCGCAACGGCAGACCCTGTCGGCTCCGATCCCGGTGCCGCTGCCGTTTGCCAGCGCAGTTTTTCAGTTTCGGCGGGAAATCTCGCGGGTAACATCAGAGAAATTAACGCGCGCGCCGATGACCGCCCCGCCCACCCCCGAAAGCGCGCTCGACGAGGAAGAGTCCGTGTACCTCCCGCCGATGCTCGGCGTCGAGTTCGGAACTCTTGACGACGGAACACCGGAGTGGCGCCCGAAACTCGCGGACGTACCCTCGAATCCGGCCGCGAGGAAGAGATACTTCGTCGCGGTCGCGCTTTGGTTCGCGTGCCGAAAACTGGGGGGCACGCGCGCGGGCACGTGTCACTGGGCCGGGACGCAGAAGCATCTCCTCGAGCAAGCGTACCGTGCATCCGGCGTGACTTATACCGGGCGACCGGCGAACCGGACGAGGCGGGCGAAGACTCCGGCCGAACATTTCTTCTCCGACTGGCCGAACTGGTCGAAGCAAAAAAGTATTCGCGCGACCAATCTCTCGACGGCGAGAGCGCGGCGCGGCGTGCTCGTCGCGTGGTCCGAAGAAGCCCACGGGTTCGTACAGCGCGAGGACGAGCCGGACATCCTCGACGAGGACGCACTCGAGTACGCACTCGGCGAGGCGACGAAAGCGGAGGAGCACGCGCTCGCCGCCGCGGAGCTTCACAGGCACGTCCCCGCGCTTTTTATCTTTTTCGTCGCGTCAGCGTCAGGTCCCGCGTCCTGTCGTGTCGCTGTCGTAGTTTCGGAATCCCACTGACGCCCATTCCCCGGACGCGCGCGCGCGAAGGGCGAGCGACGATATCGTCGCTCGCCTCGTATCCATCAAGAACGGAGCCGGGTTCGGCGCGTCGCGCTCTAGCGCTCCCCCGGGACAGCGGATCCTCGACGCGGACAACGCGGACGCGGCGACGCGGTACGGGCAAACCGCGGCAGCGACCGCGAGGCACGTCAGGGAGACTGCGCACCTCGCGGCGCTCGCGAATGGGCGCGTGCCGGGCGCGGACGTCACGAACATGACGCAAGCGGCGGCTTTTCGGATGGAGTCGAAAAGACTCCGCCTGAACGGGTGCGTATCGGCGATACGCGCGGCTCGAACCCGTCCCCCCCCCCCGTCGTTGTCCGGGCGACGACGTCCCGATTAGGTTTCTCTCGTCGACGAGATCCTTTCCTCGGCGGGGATAATTCTCGGAGCTCGCGACCTCACCCGCTCTTCCCCCCCTCTCTCCCTCCAGCGAGCTCGTGGACCTCACGATGAAGCGCACAGCCTCAATACGACTGGTCGAGGTGCGCCTGATGGACGTCCAGTCGGCGTGCGACGCGGCGGTGGCGGCCGCGGCGGACGCGCGCGCGACGCGGACGATGACGTCGTTGTCGTTGTCCATGGCGAGGAACGTGGAGCTCGGGTACCTCCGCGCGAAGATACCCGTCCCGCCCGCGATCGCGGCGGACGTTCAAAGGTGCGAGCCCTTCTTTCGTGCGTCCTTTATATCGCGCCGCCGGCGGCGCCGGAGATACCGCTTGTCACGGTCGACGCGTTCGTGCGCGCGTCGGACGCGCCGCCGCCGCCGCCGGTGATTGCACGGTGGACTTGCTCGTCCGCGCGGCGAACTCACCCCGACGTCGCGCGCGCGCGGTTGTCATGCCCCATCGACTGACGCGACTCTCCCCGCCCGATCAGACTTCGAGACCGCGACGACGACGACGCGAACGTCGTATCCGAAGCTTCCCGCCGCGTCGACGCCGCGAGAGCGGAGCTCGCGGAAGCGAAGATCCGCGCCCGACGCGAGCTCGCGGAGATCGAGAGCACGTTCGGTGCGTACCCGCGCCCGTACCGCCCATCACGATCGTCCCTCCGCGCGTTCCTCCGTGTTTTCCATCGTCGGGTGCGGGATATCGATCCCGACCGCGCCGCGCGGCGCCGGCGCCGGCGGCGCCGGCGGCGTTTCAAGCTTCATTTTTATGGTGGATTAACCCGCGGCGGCGCCGCGACGCGTCCGCGGGACGCGGTTCGACTCGCGTCCGCCGGGTGACGCGATGGTCTGATTTTCAGCTCGAGCCTCCGCCGCCGCCGTCGCCGGACGCGGTGAACGTCACCGACGCACCCGCCCCGGCCGCGGCGGCGGCTTTTTCGATTCATCTCGTCTTCCGAGAACTAACATCCTCCCTCGGCACCCTCCTCGGACCCGACGACAGATCCCGCGAAATCGATCAGCGGCGGCACCCCCGCCTCGATTCAGCGGTCGGCTGACGCGTCGGGAACGGATCTCGGCGACGGGCGCGCGCTCGACTTCGACGGTGACGTGGACGACGATCTTTTCGTGCGCGTTCCGGAAGAAGCGGAACTGCCGCCGGAAAACAACGACGAGCGCGTCGACGGCGACGGCGCGCGCGACCCCGGCAGCGTCGGCGGCGGCGGCGGGAACGACGGGACTCGCGCGCCTGATCGCGACGAAAACGATCCTCCGGCGCTTCGTGCGAACGGCACGCGAACGCGCACGGTCCGGGCGGCGCCGCGCTACGGGGACGAGTGAGCGACGCGGGGAAATTACTCTCCTGGCCCTGAGCGCGATCGACGGAAAGCGCCCGCGCGCGCGTCCGCCGCGCCGCGCCGGTCGTGATCATCGAGAGAAACGTCTAGTTTCGTGTTTATACATACAGTATGCATTTCAGTTCGATACATCTACAACACGTCGAGGCGCCCGACGACCCGCGCCTCGTGGCCCGTCCGCGGGTCGAGGAGCGCGGGGTCGTTGAAGAACTGACTGTCGTTGCTTCTGAAATTATCGCGCATCGCGTCTTCCTCCCACTCCTCCCACGCCCCCGAGAGATACTTCTCGCCCCGCGGCGCAGTGCCGCGCGTCTTCCAGATGAAGTTCTGAAGACCGCACGCGGCCGCGAAAGCGGCTCCGAAGTGGTTCGGCGACTTCGTGTACGTGGATCCGGGGCAACCCACCATCGGGAAGTTTCGCTTCACAACGCCGATGGAGTACTCCACGACGAACCGGTGTCGACGTTGCGCGTCCGCGGCGCGTTTCTCCTCCGGCGTCTTGCACTTGCTCTGATCGGGCGCGACGTCCAGGTTCGGGTCGGCTCCGATGTACCCCGGGTCGGCCCCAAGTTTCTCGCCCTCCGCGAAGTGCGCGTCGCGATCGACCACGGGCGCGGAATATTTCCAAATTGTCATGTCGTGAGCGCTCCCCGAAGCCGCGGGTTCGACCGCGATGATGACGCCGAATAGGTTGACCACGATCTGGATGTTTCGGCAGTGGTTTTTAGTCTTCCCGCTGTATTGAATCCCTTGCCCGACAGTGGGTTTTTGCATCTTTACGCGCGTCCCGTCGACGTATCCGAATATCCCCGGCATCCCCCCGATGAGATTCCCCGCGACCTATCTTTCCTCCTCGCTCGGCCATTCCACCGTCTTATCCGGCCCATCGATCAGCACGAGCACGAGATTCTCCGCGACATGCGGGTACGTGTTCCCTATCAGCGTCTCGCTGATTCCGAACTCGAGCGCGACGCGTTTCCACGTGATGTTCGACGTCACCGCGTAGAGGAAGAGGAAGAGTTCGTCTTCCGGAGTCAGACGCTTTTTTTTCTTCCGCATTTTCGCGCGAACGTCGCGCTCCGCCGGAGTGCGGGGCACGCGGCCCATCCGCGGGATGTTTAGCGGGAGGGCGAGCGCCTCGGCTAGGGTCATGAGCTCGCCGTCCTCCCGCGTCTGAGTCGCGTGTCGCTTGCTTAATAGAGCGTCGAACTCATCGATCGTGAGGCGCGTGTACGTGATCATGTCCTTGTCGCGGGTCTCGGGAGGTAGTGCGCGAATCATCGCCATCGACTTCGCGCACTCGCGGACGGGGCGTTTAATCGGAGCAACGATGCCGAGATCAGCGCGCGTGTAGTAGGGCTCCTTAGCGGTCGTAATCTTTGATCGTTTTACAGGTGCGAGCAAGGTCGCGATGAGCTCGCACTCCGCTTCCCGGGCCGCTCGACGCTTTATCCCCGCGAGCAGGTTTCGATCGTGCGCGCGCCGGATGCGACCTATCGCCGAGGCGGCCGCCTCCGCGACGTGCCCCATCAGTTCTCCATCTTCGGCGGCGTCGGCGTCTTCTTCTCTGCATCGCCCGCAACCGCGCCCGTGGCACTCTGAACAATCCGACATCGCGCGACGTGTCACTACGCGCGGCGAACGACGCGGTCGATCCGAATGGTGCCGAGTTTTTCCGCTCGGCTTCCGTCTTTTCCGTCGTTAATAAATTTCCCCGGCGTTCTGCCGTCGCGGTCTGCCGTCGCGGGCGTCCTATTAATAAATTCTGAACAGATTTCATCGGCTGCCGTTGCCGTGCGATTTCGCAGTTGAGCCCTGCCGTCAGGGACGAGCCCTAAAACTGCAACGGCGGATTAATAAATTATCTCTACTGTCTTGTCACAGTTTCGTCACTTCGTTATTCCCTGCTCTGTGGCTTACCAGATCCGGCATTACCGTGCGCTCACTTGGATCCAGTTCGCCCCAGGCCTATCCCAGACTCCCCTTGTTCCTTTCGGCACATTCGCGTATTCTGTGATTGTGTATCTTGAACTTGACACGTTAACCCCTGTCACCTCGCGATCGCTCATTGCGAGGCAGACCAAGCGTCTGAGTTCCGGATTTGGTAGTACTACGCGTACTACGTACTACTTCGACTGGCTCGAATCGTAACAACTTTCGTACCTTCGTACGAAAGTACGAAAGTACAACGTTAGTTGTACAAGTACGAAAGTACCTTCGAATGTACCTTCGTACGAAGGTCCGTAGCTCGGTACCTTCGTAGTAGCTAGCTAGCTATCTAGCTACGAATGAAGGTACTTTCGAAAGTACGAAAGTACCTTCGAAGTATCGATCATTATGTACAACAGTACGTGTACATGTACAGAATGACTAGCTGTTCCAAAGATAGATAGCTAGGATACAATTTCGAATAACAAATACAACACAACGCCCACCGTATCCTCCACACGGTCGACAGACCCTGCAGGACCAACACCAGTCGTACTCATACGACCCCACATATCAACGCGAAGGTACGAAAGTACGAAAGTACGAAAGTACCTGTATTACAGTAGGTTTAACACGTACTCGTAAATCTGGGAATAAAATTACCCTGACGAGCTCACTTCACAACTATTTATTACTCGCACCGTTTTGTATAGACTTTGTGGTCCTCAAGAAGACGGATGTCGGGGGTCACGGTTAAGAGTGATATTCCTCAGAGCAGGTAAATGAATCTGCGACGACTCAGGTCAGCCGCACTGCAGGGGGCTATCTATGTCATTGTCTCAATTGTTTTATTTTATTATCTCACGGGACGTCGAACAAGTCAACTCGAAATCCGGGGGCAGGAGACTCAGCGCAGAACCTGGCGAGAATGTCCTGTGTGCTGTGGCGAAGTCTCGAATATTTTACAGAAGATTGGCCCTGCAGATGAGAACTTGTTCTGCTTCGATCTTGATTTCATCGACCGCAAACTACAGTACTATAGAAATGTGACCACATTTAATGCTGCTTTCTCGTACTATTTCGGAATGGCAACACGATTTCTCGCGGACGTTGGCTCGAAAGTGCCAATAAGTCAAGTTATCGTCTGGAGAATAGAAGATAATGCAACGATCCAGCTGAAATTGGCACGCGCCCTCACGGAGAATAACATTGCCGTAGTTGGTCACTCGATCGTGAGGTCTAGAGTGCCCTACCTGCAACACTACATGACGTTCGTTCCAAATTTCCACTTCATTGAAACTAGAGGATTCGTAAATATACTAAAAAAAATCAGAGAAAAAGGCATACGTTTTGAAAAGAGAATTCCCCAGGTTATGTGGGCTGGGTCAGATACAGGAATTCCTTGTGATGGTGAGAGGCCCTGCAGTAATTCGTGTGATGACAGGAAACGCATTAAACTTGTGCGGAATTTTCAAGGATTTTCTTGGCTGAACTTAACCCTTACTAGTCCACACATTAAGGGACAAGGAGTCGTGAATTGTAATTGTTCCGTTCAAAAACAGATTAGTGAGGAATCTTGGGCAGGGTATAGGGGAATTCTGGATATTGACGGAAGCGTTGATGCGTGGGGCTCAAGGTGGCGACTGGAAAGCGGAAGTGTACTTTTTCAGGTTCGTTCTTCTTTCGAAAGTCACTTTAGTGCCAGGTTAGTGAATGGTGTGCACTACGTGCTTCTGAGTGCCAATCTAAGCGATCTTGTAGGAAAGACAACGATTATTACGAGCAATGAGCAGCGGGACATCGGTTATCTTACTACTTTAGCAACAAATGCTCGTGGTGTCTTGAAGACAATATCGTACGATGACGCCGTCCAAGAAGTCGGTATTAAATTAAGGAAATACCAGCACTCGAAGTTTGAACACTCGAAACATGATCCATTACGCGGTTGATGCCCTCACAAAGTTTCGTGACTTGAAAAGGTCGGGAAGACGGTTTTCGGACCCCTAAGGAGCCTTTTTTAAAAAAGCACGGAAGTATGACAAGAAAAACAAAGGCGGTGTACTGTACTGCAGATTTCGATCAAAATATATTTTTCAGCTCGCGGAGAAAATCGCGTCGCAGGGCTGAACGCCGGCATTGGCGCCGCGCCGCGGCACCGCGCCGCGGTCATGACGCGCACGAAGCGACAAAATGAACGGGAGAGAGGTCGTCCGCGCGTTCCACTGGATGCTATGAAATTTAAGCGTCGATGCCACAATACCTCGACTGTTGTTTACAAGGGCGTGCCACACGACATTCTTTAGATCGTATGCAGTGGCATTTGCACTCGAACAGGGTTAGACAGCCGAATAGACTTTCGATAACTTTCCGATGCTCGGTCTGGACTTAAAATCGATCAAGGCGCTGCTGAAGCGCATCGAGAAGAACGATGGATCCGCAATTCCTGGTTTGTACGGCTGTCACGACAACCATAAGCGCTTGGTTCAGCGCGCTCACGCGGTTTACCTACACCTTAAAACATTGGTTGTTGGTTCACGCGTGACCAGCTCGTATCTCAAAGACGTTCTCTACGCGACTTTTGGGATTCGGACGACTGACGTGACTGTCAGAAACGAATTGAGCAGCGAGGGCGTGTCATACAAGAAATGCACGTTTCAAGACAGACGCGCGTTCACTCCACCAAAGTCGAATTGACGCGTCCGCTATGTTCCCTTTTACGTTCATTTTTTTTGTCCATTGACTCAAACGCTCCTCTTCACTTTACTTTGCAGTTTAACGTTCGACGTCTTGGTCTTGACAAACGACGTGGCATGTTTGTAGATGAAATGTACTACAGCGCCCACGCGTGCGGGAGCAAGTACGGGTATGCCAAGACCGACGCGCGTGCTTCTCAACGAGACTTGGGAAAAGGAGAAAGCGAGCACGTCATGTTCATAGCTGCCGTCTCCACTGAAAAAGTGCATTGCGTCATGCCAATTCCTGCACCAGTATCTGTTAACGGCCTCCTTTTTGAGTATTACTGCACGCATTTCCTGATTCCTGAGGTGATTCGGGAGAACAAGACTTACGTGGTCATGGACAACGCTAAGCCTCATCTTAGGAATGTTTTGCGCGCGATTTTCGCTCTGCACAACCTGGCTGTGTATTTTTTGTCTCCGCACTCTCCTTGGCTACAACCAATCGAGAAGATCTTTAACATCGCGCACGTGAAGTGCAACATGGACGTCGAGCACACGCGATCTTCCTTCATTCGAAATGTTATACAGGTCATGGAATGCATATCCCCAGATGAGTGCGATGCGTGTTGGAGGGTGACGGGATGGACACGAGTCTGCGTTCGATTTATGTAGACTAGTCTAGCAACTTAAAACAAGTTTTATTCAATCGTTCGTAACTGTATTTCATTCGGCGTCGTGTCTAAAAACGTCGTGTTGGAGCTAATCGTTCTATTTCACACCACCTCAATGGGTGTCTTGTTTTTCAAGGGGCCAATCAAGTTGGCGAACTTGGCGATTGGTGCGGGCGGGACGTTCTTGATGTTCGTCACATTGGTGATAGCTCGAATCGCTTTATGAGCATGGTAGTAGCTGACATGTTTCATCTGCATGACAACTGCGATCATCTGCACTGCCATATCTGTTTCATCTTTCTGTGGGAAGAAATTAAGCACTGATCGAACGATATTAAGGTCAGTGCACTCAATGCCTGCTTCGTTTAAAGAAGTACACACACTGCCAAAGTTGCTGTAATCGGAGTGCTTGCGCGATAGTTCGTCGTATCAGCAAGCTTCTGTAGCTCGTCTAGTGCATCCGTGAAGGTATCAATGGAGCCATCCCCGAGTGTGGCCGCGGAAATGTCAGAGAGTAAATCTAAAACTACAGAAGGGTTGTTCACTAGCTCCAGACAAATATGAAACTTTTCAATGTCTTCTCTTTTGAAATCCAGTTTTTTCAATAAGGAGTAAGCTTTCTCGGAACCGATGGAAGCGCGACTCATGAGATCCAAAACATACGCGCCGTCTTCAGCGTTCATGTAGACACATACGGTGACGTCATGCTCGATTTTCGAGACATGATCACCGCGTGCTCCACCAAGCCCAACGTATTAATCTAACATTGTATCTTTAGAAATGAAGTAAGCGTCGTCAACGACTACGTCAGATGGCGTACGCGCGCTCGAGGGAGTCGCGTTTGAGTGTTTACTACCCGCCTCCTGCTGGCAACTCTGCGCGAGAGAAAAAGTGAGTCGAAGTTACGAAAGAATAGCTATATGCAGGGCGCACACCTCGCAAAAGTTGTACTAGTAACTGCTGTGACTGTGTAGTATGTCCTTGATGATCATGTTGCGTAAGTGACTCAATTGCAGAGGCGTTCCCTCCACCTCCGCCTTCACTTGCTGGAGTTGCTGCCAGGTTATCAAGCATGAGCTGGATCTGATGGAGCAAACCTTCATCAGATCCTGCGCGGGGTTCCGCGCGTGTGCCCGCTCCGGACTCACGGTGCAGTGCCTCCCCTTTCACCCTGATGGCGATCATGTAAGCCTCCATCAGCTGCGGGTCGTTAAAATTAGCTTTTATCCTGTAAAACGATCATGATCAAGAAATATATTTGAGATGGATCACGCGCACGAAGAAAACTTACATTTCCGCCACTCGTTTAAGGCCTTCCAGGTTTAATGCGTCTTCAATGAATGTAGTGTATCTTCCCGTAGGAGGCTTGTTTATATTTCTGCCATCATTAGTAACGGCTTCAACGTATGCACCCAGAGCAGCTCGATTGTCTGCACCAGCAGTAAGCGCATTCGCACTAGCAGCGAGCCCTTTACGCACGACCTCGCTCTCTTCAAGTTTCTTCTTTGACTTCATGTCTTGCTCACGTTGCCGCTGTGTCTTTGCTTGTTGAGCAATCAAAGTTGTTGCACCACCAGCTCCTACACCCAAGAACGCGGCAAGGGTCTCCGCCGCACTAACGTCCGCGGGAGGCACTGCACGATTCAACAGTTCCTTCCTCTGGTCGAGAGCATACTCCTGCAAGAAAGCGTACGGTTGTACACTCGCTGTCGCTCCCTTTTCGACATACGCTGCCACGTGTTTGATCTCTAACTTTACCATTCCCCCACTCCATAAACCTTGAACCTTATCACCTTGAAAACACTCTGGGGATGCGGCATTTGCGGCTTAGCGCTTTTAGGGTGTGTGTGTTATTTCAAGTCTCCGTGACGTGCAGCCCTAGAAATCTGCTCGCTAAGGCAAAAAACAACTACCTGTACACGATCACGCCGCCCAAATCGGGCTCCTCCCCAAGACCTTCAGTCTCGTCGTTCTCACGTACACCCCGGTCATTGCCCCCTTCCTTCGCGAATAAGAAATCAACCCCTCCGCCCAGCAGCCGGCATCCCACGCTTCGCATGAGCGCCACCGAGATCCGCCTCTCCCAGTCGATGAGCGCGTCAGCGGCGCACGGGTTCGGTGGGTATTCCTCGACGCCCACCGCGACTCTGCGCATCTCACGGTCGCGCGCCGCGCGGGGGTTTCCTTCACGCCCCCGGCCCTGTGCGTGAGCCGAGATGATGTCCCCCATGAATTTCAGGAAGTCGCGGCCGATGCCCCCGTACAACTCGATGACGAGAGGGACGAACGTGAAACACTGCGCCGTGCACGCCGCCTCGTATTTCCTTCTTTTCGATTTTTCGCTCTCCGCGGCCGCGTGCAGTGGTACCGTCGTCCTACAACGCGACACCTCCCCGTTTCCTTTGATCACCTGGCAGACGCGGACGTCCCCGAAAACGCCCATCGTACCAGGGTAGACGCCCTTCACGAGGATGTCCGGAACGAGACCCCTTTCGTCCGCCCCGATGACGCCGTTTCCGTCTCCCCCCTGGTTCCTCCGCTGCGCGTCGTGAGTACGGAGAAGGCCGTCGAGCCCGGACGTCTTCACCTCGAAGTAGGTCCGCGTCTTCAGCACGCTCTCGACGGCGCGGAGGACCGTGCGGTGCGACGCGTCACGTCCGCCGAGGCACGTGTCCTCGTTGTCAGCGAGGGCGTGGAAGCCGTACTCGTCGTCGGAGCGGCGCCCAGGGCCGTTTCTAAATCGACCGGAGGCCTCATCCCGCTCCCCCGATCCCCTCTTGCACCGCGAGCACGTGCAGAGCTTCCCCTCCTCCTTCGCTTTCACCAAAAGCGGTTGCTTCAACATGTACCGCCAGCGCACGGCGGCGCGCAAAGCCGGCGCCGGGATTTCCATCTCCGGGCACCACGGCGTCGCGTGCAGCCACCCGCTCGCGCCTCGCTGCTGCCCCGCGAGGAGACACGCGGCTCTCGGCTCGTCCGTCCTGTCGAGCATCTCCTTGAGCGCCTTCGCGTTGGAGTCGTGGATCGCGACCGTGAGCTTCGTCTGAAGGCCGCGGTCGGTCGTGCGCGCAAGCTCTTTAGGGTTGACAAGGTGGCCTGTGGGTGCGCTTCGCTGCACCGTAAAATTATCCGCGCTTCGCCTGTGACTTGTGCCAGCGTGCTCCGCCTGCGCTGACGCGCGCTCCGCCCGTCGCGCCTTCCGCGCTCCAGTGGCGCGCTCCGCGCGCACCCCGGCGACTCCGCCATCTGCCAGTGATCATGCTCCGCCTGCGCTGGCGTGCTCTCCGCCTGTCGCGCCTTCGGCGCTCCAGTGGCGCGCTCCGCGCGCACCACCGCGACTCCATAATGCGTTAACGAAATCCGCCACATCCGCCGCGGGGCGCGGGGTCGCCGGTGGAGTTCCGAACGGGTCTACCGGCGACTGAGTCGCCGTCAGAGTCTCGAAGGGGTCCATGCGAGTGAGTTCCGAGGCCGCCACTCACCTGAGGAAGCGGCGAGGGGTGCGCGCGGTGCGCGTGGCGAACGCGCATCGCACTTTTGACGGTTCATAACTCGTCGAGTAGATTTGTTTGCCCGTAGCATCGCGCTTGCGCGGCTTCGTCATGCTTACCGCGGCCATGTTAGGGGCGCGTCGCATCGAATCATCACTTGGGAGGTGCGCTTCGAGCGTCGCATCCGATCGGGTTAAACCTGGACGCGCTCACGCGGTGGGGTTCTCCCCCGTGCGGGTCGGAATGCGCCCCGCCGCGTTTTTTCCTCGCCTTTGATTGGCCAGAAACTCTGAGAAGCTCTGAGACGCGTCGTCGGTCGGTCGGTTTGATACCCGTTAAGTTTGGATTTTAGTAGTGTAGATTATGGTTTGTTAATAATACGAACGAAGGTATTTGTTGTTGTAATGTACACGTAGTACACGTAATAGTACCTTCAAAGGTACGAAGGTTCAGTACAACACACGTACACGTCCTCAAGGAACACAAGGCCCACCGTATCCTCCGCACGGTCAACATACCCTGTAGGCGAACACCGGTTGTACACATACAACTCGTTATATCAACGTGGTATCGGCTCGAGACGTAGAAAAAGCGCGTGCTGAGCAGGGCGTTCACGACGACCCCTGATACGAACTGGACGTAGCACTTGCTTGAACGTGCTGCGGAGGGTCAAACACATTTGGAATGGTATAATTCACTCCTACCGAAGCCCAGGCGTTTCGTAAAAAAATACCCCTCACACATTCTCAGAGTATTTTTAAACAGTAGTGCACATGCCACGGAGAAAGCTTTGTGCGCGTAAACGTGTACAGAAGCTCGGTGTGTATTTCGTCTTGACTTCTTTAGCGATGTCGTGCGTTTATGCTAGCTCTGTCGAAGGTCGCTTTTCCTTGACTTTTTCCACAATTTGTTCTTCACTTCGCGAGGGATATGGAAACTTCAGGAAGCACACTTTCATCGACTGGAAAGGAAAACTTGAGCGCAGCAAACTGCGTCCAAAATTCGCCGTACCTGTAAATGACCTGAACGTTCACGTTATCTCTCTTCAAAGATCAAGTCAGCGTCGCGCTGCTTGTGTTGAAGCCTTATCTCTTGAAAATATGTCGTATACGCTTTCACTCGCGGTTGACGGTTTGTCCCCGTTCACAGAAGGAGAGTTCAATCGATATGCTGGTTGGAAGAGGCGAGCTTTAATGAGCTTGACAGCTGAAGAGCTCTCTGATTTACAAGAGAAATTTGCATCTTCGAGACGACTGTCAAATCGCGAGCAACGCGTTCTGCACGAGAGGCTTCGATTTGGATGTTCACTTTCTCACATTCGGATATGGATGAAGTTGTTGTCCTCGACGAGTGACTTCTTTATAGTTCTCGAAGACGATGCCATAGTAGTGAAAGAATTTGAGAGAAAGACTCACGAAGCACTAAAAAGCCTTCCAGACGACTGGGAACTCTTCTACATTGGCTATGTTTGCAGTGCGCTCCCTGGTGGTTACTTGAGCAGAAATATCCGACAACTGCGGGGTGGTTCTTGCACGAAAGGTTATGCGGTGTCTCGCAGGGGAGCCGAGCGCTTGGTTTTTCGTTCTGCTGTAGGAAGCAATTTACCCGTGGACAACATGATAAAAGTTGACGTTGCTGCTGGACTCGCTCCTGCTTTTTACGCCGATCCTCCGTTACTTGCGGTCACTGACACTCGGAATTTGAGTACCCTGGCGTACTCAGGAGGCTGACAACTATTTCGGGTTTTTGTAAAGGGTTCGACGGGCCCGAAGGAGCTTGAGGGGGGGGCGAAAAGCGTGATGCCGACGTTTTTGCGATCAGCCGACCACATCAGCGCGTTTGTTGGGTTTTTTTGCATAGGTGAGTGGCCTTGACTGGATCGAAACTGCCGACTTTGTGGCGTTACGAGATAATGCTATGTAACTCCAAGACGCAAAGGATGCGTTTTTCGTCACGTAGCACTAGTACTAATAGTCAGAAAAATTGTTCATAGATGGAGTCCTATTTGTATACTTCATACTCCCGGAAGTATCATTATTAACAGCTATATTTATTTAGGCCTTGGCAAGACTTTTGGCGCCAGAGCTGCCATATCCACGGCTGATCGTACACAAGCTCGTGCGTGACCGTGAGTGCGTCTTGAATCTTGGCGTACCGTTCAAGCTTATTTTCTACCCACTCAAGATTGTTATGAAACTGAACGTGAATGTGGCAAAAGTACGTTGCCAAACTGCCAGAAAGTAGTAGTTCCATTATTTCCCATTCGCAACCTTCGCAATTGATCTGTAAGAGGTCTGCTTTTTGTATGCCGAGAAATTTCACAACTTCTCGGAAATCCTTTATTTCTGCGGGTGTCCCTGTATTAGACTGTTGAGTCGAGTCTCCTTGTACATCAAAACTCACATTTCGGTTACTGTTGCCTAATCCAAAGGGAAATATTTCAATATTCTTGTTGCTTTCCAGATTTTTCCTTGCCTCTTCATGATATACTGGTTCGAATAATAGGGTTCTGAATGAGCCATACAACGACTGCAGCGCGACTATGTCTACACCCGTGTATCCACCCACTTCAAGGACCAGGGACTTGGGTGACAAATATGATTGGTATGAGTATAAAGTAGCATCACCGCCGAAAGGACCGAAGAAGTCAGAATGATTCACCATCAAGCTAGATCCACGCACAAGTGAAGGGCATATAGAGCAAGAATTCAGCGGTATTTCGGGGCTTGACGACAGAACTCCAACTTTCGAATTGCTCTCCGCGCAAAGGTGACCTAGATAAAAAGCTAAACACGGAACGAGTATTTTTCCGCAGCAATACGAAGGTGACCCTCGCCTGCAAAGTCGACGTAAGCGATTGACATGCATTCGAATGCACATCCACGTTGCCGCCGGTGCGTTTCGGGCGCAACCCGTCGAAGCGGACTGTCCACGTTCGTATTGTGTGATACCTGAAGGTACCTAGCTACCTACGAAGGTAGACTTCGGATACGTGTACGGCTGTACCCTCGTATAGCGTACTTCCGGAAGTAGACCGTGTCTCAATATAGTTATCTAGAAATATGGTGATCGTAACATGAAAGCCTGAGTTTTGAACTCGCATATCAACACCGTGGAACAGACCCTGTTACTCAAAGGTATTTGAGTAGTAAATACTTGAATAGATACTGAGTAGATACTCGAAAATCGTGTATCTATTTATTCATCCGCCGGAGGCGAAATATTTTTCGAAATATCTATTTATTTACGCAAATTCTTATTATTTTGCTGAATGTATTTATTTATCTACTCGCCGTAGGCGACGAAAAATACAAAGTATCTATCTATCTACTCAACGTATTTGTAGGTTTTGAACGAATGTTTTTCCCCGTGAGAAAGCAAAAGAAAAAGTCACAGTCTAATAAGTGCAAAATACTCAAGTACTTCCGTACTTCCGGAAGTACTCAAGAGTATTTATCTACTCAAACATGCCAAGTGCAAAATACTCAAGAGTATTTATCTACTCAAACATGCGAAGTGCAAAATACTCAAGAGTATTTATCTACTCAAAAATGCCAAGTGCAAAATACTCAAGAGTATTTCTACTCAAACTTCGAAATATCCGAATACTCACCAGTATCTATCTACTCAAAAATACTTGTGACTAAATACTCGATACCTACTCACTTGGAATATTTCTTTGAGTAACAGGGTCTGCCGTGGAACTACCGTAGCCAACTAGCTAGCCATACAGGAGGTATGTGTACTTGTGTAGGCTACTGTGTAGACTGTGTACTGTACAGCTGTACACGTATGACTCTCGTGTTTCCATAGCGTCACAGGGGGATGGGTAGTCTACCCCAAAAAACCAAAAATTTGAAGAATAATTACCCATACGACATTTTCAAGCAGCGATGTAGCGAAGGGGCTCGCTACCCGCTATTGATTTTCTTCCTCTCAGGTAGTGGCCTCCGCTACCCGGAGTTCGCCCCCCTTTATTATATATATATGAACCCTTCGGACAAGACGCCCACCCCCCGAGCGGCCCCGTTTCGCCCCCTCGCGGCTAGGGTTCGAGGACCCTAGCCGCGAGGGTGGCGAAACGGTGGCCGCGAGTTTTAGGATATTGAAAAACGTAGTTCCACCCGAGGTAGTAGTAGTAGGGTTGGTTTTAACGTTTAGGGTTTAAGGGCACGGCGACCGCGCGAATATCACGCGGGCGAAGCCCGCGTGGCTTTCGATCAGATGTGATGATGGAACATGAGCTCAGGGGCGAAGAGCCGCCGAAGGCGAGCGATGAGTTCAATATTGCTATCAAATCACTTGTTTATACGATGAAAATTCGAACCTCAGAGGCTAAATGTACTTTCAAAGGTAGAACTTTTGAAACCTGGTAGTGACATAGTGACATGGTGGGGTAGTGGGCTATGGGACGCCGTACTTTCATACTTCCGGAACGAAGTACGTAAGTACGTACACGTGCACAACTACACATACAATATTATTACTTTCGTACTAAAGTAAGGCTAAAGTACATCGTTCCGTACAACGTTGTACGGAAGTACGAAAGTACCAAGCACTTCCGGAAGTACGAAAGTACCTTCGTACGTACGTATGTACGAAAGTACGAAAGTACTTCCGTACTTCGGAAGTACCTTCGGTACCTTCGAAATAGGAAGGTTCAAAGGTATGTCGCCCGCAAGTTTATGCAGACAACCGCGATCGTGCACTCTCGGAAGAAGCTTATTTGCACTACCTCGAAGTTCATTCATATTACAAACGTTCACTTCTCAATCTGCCGAATTTTGTGTGCAGTTGGAATCAAAATCTTCTTTCCACTTTTAACTGGTAACCACTTAGTATGAAAAAACTTAAATCGTGGGGTGATCACACCATATATGATGCCTCCGTGCACACAAGGCCGGTTGTTGACTACATCAGGAACATGTACAGCTTCGAGCTTGATGAGGCACACTTGAACTGCGTCCAGTATAAAAACGCAGAAGTAAAGTCTGCTTGCAACGAGATTGACATGGAAGAGTTACACCAGCGATTTTATCCAATAATCAAGGCAGACCCCACTTTCCTACAGCTGTATGAGGAAATGTGCTCTTCAATTTGTAGAGTGATCTTCCCAGGGGAACCATTTGTAGTCCTTCAAAGCATGCCAAACATCCGTTTCCACTTGCCTGGTACTGTGGTCGTTCCCCCTCACACTGACATGGATGAGTGTGAAGACGGAACACGGACAGCACATCCAGAGTTCGAACAAAACTTCCTCCTCTCCATCACCCCTGCCTTCGACTCGAATGCAATGTACTTGGAGTCTTCACCTGGAAAAGGAGACTTTGAAACAGTTGAAATGAAGCCGAATACATTATTACATTTTCATGGTAATAAATGTGTACATGGTAACCACACCAACGTCACGGGGAAAACGAGAGTCTCGATCGACTTCAGAGCCATCAAAGTCTCTCATATGCTGAAATACAAAGCACTCGATCGGTTGAGTTCAACTCGAGATAATCCTTACCGGGCCAAACTAGAACTGAAGGTCGGCGGTTACTACAAGCTTCTAAATCTCGAAGGCCCTTTGCTGCAAATGCAACCGTCTTTTGGAAGTGAAGAAGCGTGTGCTGCATACAATTACATCTTATCTGGTGGTTTTTTGACAGAGCACAAATATACACGTCAACTGGAAAGCGAGTTGGCTGAGTTTACAGGAGCGAAATACTGTTTCATGGTCTCAAACGGAACTCTGGCGATTTCGGCAGCCTTATTGGCCGTCGGAATTTCAAAAGAAGACCGCGTCTTGGTTCCTACGTACACTATGATAGCGACAGCAAACGCTGTCAAACTTATTGGAGCTGTTCCTGTTTTTGCTGATGTTGATCAGCGTACCAACACTCTTTCGGTTGAAACAATTCGGTCGAAAATAAATGATGTGGATGCGGTAATTCACGTCTCGCTTAATAACAGGTGTCACGATATGAATGCAATTGTTGAAACATGTAAAGATGCCGGCAAGCCCATCATCGAAGATGCTGCTCAGTCACTAGGAAGTACTTGGTGCGGAAAAGCTCTGGGAACATTTGCCGATGTTGGAATTTTTTCATTTTCTTCTCCTAAGATCATTTCGATGGGTCAGGGTGGATGCGTGGTGACAGACAACGATGAGATCGCACTTCGTTTACGCAGAATTAAAGATTTCGGGAGAGACAGACCTGGAACTGAAGAATATTCTGCTTTCGGGCTTAATTTTAAATTTACTGATCTGCAAGCGGTGATCGGCTTAGAACAGCTCAAGAAGCTTCCAGGTCGAGTGCGTGCCTTATCTGACATGTGGGACCTATATTACAAGCACTTAGCGAAATATATGATCCCTAAAGCTGACAAAGGTTGGATACCTTGGTTTATCGAGATATTCGTTCTGAATAGGGATGAGCTCGCGGTACAACTACGAGCGGCTGGAATTGGCGTCAGAGAGGTATACCCCCCTGTTCATATTCAGAAATGTTATAATGAGAGCTCACTAGCTCTTCCGAATGCGACAAGAGTACACCAAACCGGATTATGGCTACCTTCATGGTCGTCTTTATCAAAGAATCAAATCGAAGCCATTTGCTCTTGTGTGAACTTGCTCATGTAGGAACACGAGCACTGAAAAAGAACGCAACATTATATTAAGATCATAATCATAAATATATAAGTCACGATTAAATCAAGAAATATTGAGTTAAACCTATTGGCCGAAATCCTCGGACCTTCAGCACTCCCAAGGCAGTGCAGAGCGCGCGGGGGGGTCGTCTTTTCGGCCGCGCACGACGCGTCACTGGGTAGATCGATTCGTTCTTCCACTTGCTGGTGCCTCCGCTTTTGCCTCGATGAAGAAAGGGCTCGCAACGTAGGATGATGGACCATCGCGAAGCGAGATCTTGTACTGTACTCGTGGGATGATGTCAACGTTAGGATGTCCCCTTCCGTATCCTCCAACACTTCGACGCCATCGAATTCAGTTTGCTTGAGCATATGCTCAGCTAGCTGGTCTTCGTCTTCAAGCAAGGCAGCGACCATTTCCTCATCATCTTTGGCCAGAAACTCCATGTCCTTCTTATCTGCATCATCCGTCTCGTCATATCGCCGGGAACGACGCAGAAATCGTATTCCGTTGCGGCCTCGATATCCAAAGACCTTTCCGGCGCGCTGGCCGCGCGCGGATCCGGGTGGGTCTAACCAAAATCGGTGGGGTGAGCCGATTTTCCACCCGATTTTGCAACTAAATCCCTCTATGGACAGAATATGTGTGGTCTGTAGCTCTGTACTCTGTAGTCGGTAGATATTCATTCGTACGAAAGTATCACTATGAAAATGGAACTGCTAATTTACACGTGTACACGTACTGCTAATTTTTAGCATTAGGTTGGAACAAGAGCTCCCGGAATAAATTTCGGAAAAAACTTGACTCAAAGATGACGGTCTAATTTCCTCGTATGGTTTTTCAAGTTACCTTTCGGTCATTTCAAACCCTAAACCCTAAACCCTGGTGGGACAAGTTTATTCATTTTGGAGCTCTCGAGCAATTAATTCGGGAATAAAATTTAAACCGCGATTTTGGGTTCAACCACACCGTATCAGGGGTCGATCTACGGAGTCGCTGACTCAAGAATGTGGGTTTAAGAATTTATTCCGAAATTTATTCATGGGAGCTCTTGTCCACCCTTAGCAACTGCTAAAAGGGACTTTTAATTTACTGCTAATTTACTGCTTAAATTAGCAGTAAATTAGCAGCACGACTCGACAGATCAGCACGTAAGTAAAAATAGCAGTAAATTAGCAGGTGCTAAATTTGCGATTTCGCGTTTAGCAGTACGAAAATGGAAATTAGCAGTACGGAGGTACTTTTAGCAGTAAATTACCTTCGAAGGTATTGCAAACATGCCAAAAGAAGAATGGCCACTTGCATGTGACCATGCTGTATTGTTATACAACCGGATTCCACATCAAAAACACGACTTGAAGAAAAGTCCATACGAAATAATGTATGGTGTCAAGCCAGACATGACTAAAGTCAAAGTTTTCGGCTGTGAAGTGTTTGAGCTCATATCTAAACAGAGCAACACAGGTTTGGGGCAAAAACTCAACCCAAGAGCAAAAGCTTTTATGTATGTTGGACACTCGGAGACCACAGTTGCTGATTCTTATAAACTGTATGACAGAGGAAGCAAAACTGTCAAGACAGAAGCGTCAGTAAGTGCATTGAAAATGTGGATGAATACGGAAAAGTGCTGAGCAAGCACAACCATTCATATGCACATGACTTCTCAGTCAGAGAAACTCTGCCAGAAGATTTCTGCGAAGGAAAGGAAGCTGAGAAATTTCCAGTTAAAGGGGTACAAGATTTCGATTTGTACCACGACAGCAAAAATGGGTCAACGCAATTGCTGATAAAGGTAAAGCCAATCACAGGAAAATCTCGATGGATATTCGCAACATCAATGTTCAAAAGGACGACATCTGAAAAGAATTTAAAGGTAATATTCAACAAGCTTCAGCATTTCCTGAACAAGAAGGATAGTCAGAATCCATATAGGATTAAAGACTTGAGGATTGCTGTGCAACCGTTCCTTTCAGAGGTTTATTGGATGCGAATTTTGCCGGGCAAACCCCTACCAGGCAAAGATAGAATGAAAACTGTGCATGCGGCATATATATTGTCCCATAATCCAAACTCAAAGAATCTTTGGACAATAGTGCGATTCACCGATGGCGTCTTGTATGAAGCAGATGACAGTGAGTTGAAATTCCACAAGGAAGACTTGCCCAATAACTGTAAAATTGCATCACAAGCATGGAAACAAGACATAGAGGTGAATGCAGTGCTTAACTACGACCTTTTCAGCGAGAGAGGCATTGAGCATTCAGGTGCACAAGCTTATGCAATATCAAGCGCATATGAGAAACTAAACAAAACCTACCTCAATAAGCCTGAGCCCACAACATACAAGGAATCGCAGAAAACTGATGAGGCCGAACAATGGAAGGCCGCGACTGAAGCTGAACTCAAACAAATGGAGGACTTAAAAGCCATTTCAGCAGTCGATAAAGTTCCAGAAGGTAAGAATATTACCGAGTCTAGAATGGTTTATAAGAGGAAACTCACCTCTCTGGGCGATGTGGAGAAATGGAAAGCAAGATTAGTAGCCAAAGGATTCTCCCAACAATACGGAGTAGACTGGAATGAGAATTTTGCACCAACGCCACAAACAGCTGGAATAAGACTCTTGATCGTGTTCATATTGCATTTTGGACTAATGCATATGCTTCAGGAGACGTCAGTGGAGCATTTCTGAACAGCACCCTGACAGAGGAAATCTATTTAAGATTACCTGAAGGACTTAAACTCCATGGATCAACCATAGTTCTGCTATTAAAAGCTCTGTATGGTTTAAAGCAAGCAGCCAATGAATGGCATGCTCTCTCTGATAAAATTATCAGAGAATTTGATCCAGAACTGAAACAAAGCAAATCAGAACCATGTATCTATTATAAAATCACCAAAGACTGCATATTTGTGCTGTCAGTGCATGTAGATGATTATCTGTTTGGATACAACAGCAAAGAATACATGCAGGGCTTTGTGGCACACTTGAACAAAACCATAAAGATGACAGTGCAACCAAGCATCAACTTTATTTTGCAAATGAAACTTGAATGGTCTGATAATTCAGTGACTTTATCACAGAACAGACAAATAGAAGCTCTTGTCAACAAGTTTGGTGTCAACGGAGCAGGTAGAACGTTCAAAACACCAATGGATGGAAAAGCTTTGTCTGATCCAACCTTAAGGGCTGGTGATCCAAAGAATCTTCCAGACGTACCTTACCGTGGACTTGTATGCGCATTATTATTTATTGCAAGATACACAAGACCAGACATAATGTTTGCAGTTTGTTTCTTATGCAGATATTTGAGCAACTACACTGATGCACATTGGAAAGCAGCAAANAGAATACTGATTTACCTCAAAAATACCACCGATATCAAACTGAAATACACTAAAATTCCAAATGCAAAACCTCGTTACTTCGAGTCGTGCG